TTGTCCGGGGTGGCTGGCGAGTGTGGTGGGGAATGGGGCAGTCGGTGTGGCTGCTGCTGGACAGCCAACGCTGAGTGCCACGGTGAGCCCGGCGGAGGATTCCCAGGCTGGAACAGAGGGAGGTTGTGGGAGGGTCAAGTGGGGATAGAAGGCGAAAGGGACGGAGAGAGTGGAGGACAGAGCGGGAGAGATGCAGAGGGGGGAGGGTTTGGGGGGAGAGAGGAGGGGGGAGGGAGGGGGCTTGGGTCAGAGCGGCAACTATAATGCGCACGTGGGGACCGGGAGCGAGCGGTCAGGTGGATGGCATTAGCCCATAGGCTGGGGCTGGGGCAGCCAACCCAACAGGACCATGGTGGGCCCTGATGCGAGCCCCGGGGGGTGGGTGGGGAGGCGCAGAGGGTTGTTTTTTTTTTTGCGGGCGCACACTCCTGAAACTAAACCATGACGTCAGCAGTTTCCCCGCTCCGCCCCCACACACACCCACAGCCCTACCCCCCCACACCCCTAGCTGAACTCCCTGCCGCCTCGTGCTTTATACTACCTGTAGGGCCAGGCTCCTCTCCGCGCTTTCCTGCCACCGCCCCCTGTTAAATTGAGAGGAGATGAAATTACTGTTAATATTATTTACCAATCTCCCCTTTGATTCTAATTTGGACTTTAATGACTGCTTGATGATTAACAAATTAACCTTGCCTAAGTAGTAATTTAAGTGTCTATAAATTGAGAATTAGTGTCCTTATCTCCATGTTTAGCAATGTATCATCAAACTTTCCATTCAATAGAACTGCTGAGTTTACAATCTACGTAAAAAAGATCTTGATACTAGACTCTCATAACTGAGATACAAAGGATCATTTTAAGGATTTCAAGTATTCAAAAGAGATATTTTAGCAAAACCAAACTGTATAATTTTACAAAGTATTCACATTTCCTATTGGAAGGTTGAATACCATCGGAAATGTGTGGCTGCTTGTTTGCTGAAATAAAAATGTGAACATTTGGGGGAACGTTAGAATCATTTGGAAAAAATGTTAACTGTAATTATGTTTTTCCTTCTTCGATAAAATTCACTTCCCATTGTCTCACCTTTCACTCTCCTCTCCTGAAGCTATCTCTCGTTCTTCCTTCTGGGCTACATATGGTTCCATTGCAAATGAACATCTTTCAATGCTTTGCCTAAGTAGTAAATTGTGAGTCTTGTCAGTGGGTAATTTGTCAGTCTTGTCAGTGGGTAAGCTAATTTATGTGGGAACATGCCTCATCCAATCTTTCATGGACTTCTATACATAGACTTCCATACCTTCCAGCAGGTTTGGACATTGCTTAGGCAAGAAGTGGGAGCATTAATTCAAATCCTAATTCAAGCACCCTGGGTTGCTTAATAATAATAATCCTTACATTTGTTATAATGCCTTATCACATCTTCGAGATGTCTCAAAGCGTTTCACAGAATATACTGTAAAGTGAATTGATGTATATTTTGTGGGTAAAACACAGCAGTCAATTGCGCATAGCAGTGTCCCACAACCAGTCATGGATTGAGTGACCAAGTTATCTTTTTAATTTAATTTTAATTACTTTTTTATATTTTATGCTTCCTGCATAAATACATCCAGGTAAGTCCAGAACAAACTTTCCACAAAAGTCACAAATTATCACCTGGTTCTGTATCAAATTGCAACAATGCTGTAAAATGTTGGATAAATTGGGTCCAGTTAATGTATTCTATTAATTATAATAATATAATAATAATAATCCTTGCATTTGATATAGCGCCTTTCACGTCTTCGAGACATCTCAAAGCGCTTCACAGAATATACTGTAAAGTGAATTGACTGTTTATTTGTGGGCAAAACACGGCAGTCAATTGCTCACAGCAGTGTCCCACAAACAGTTGTGGATTGAATGACCAAATTATTTTTATTTTTTTCTTGAGGGATTATTATCAGGTGTGTGGGGTAAGGAAACTTGCCCAAGATATCACCCTGCCAGGAAGTAAAGCCAGGTCTCTCCCTTGCAAGGCAAGTGCTCTAACCACTGAGCTACAAGACATTACAATATAATGTCAACTTCTAGCTGTGTACAAATAGCAACAAGTACTTGTTTGCTAATACAACATGCTTCTGTTGTGACAACAAGGACCTGGTACAAAATATTATCTTTTGACTGTGGCTTTAGTCAACACCCTTACATTTTCTTTCCTCACATTGCTTGGCAAATAAGCAGATGTGTCAACCTGTCTCAGTTGGTAGTACTCCTACCTTTGACTCAGAAGGTTGTGGGTTTAAGCCTGTAGGATATTGGGTACAGCACTCACCTTGCAAGCAAGAGGACCCAGATTCGATTCCCAGGTGGGGTGAAACCTCAGGCAAGTTTCCTTACTTCACACGCCTCTGCTTATCTAGCAGTAAGTAGTAACCTAGTAACCTAGATGCTGGCAGATCGCTTTTGCTCTGGATGGACAAGCAATAGGGAAATTTGCCATATAGTATTCCCAATGTTTAAACTTCAGCAGTCCAACACACACTCTGGTAAGCAAGGTGCATCTCTTCAGGAAGAGAGTGCACATTTCATTCCAGACACAAGGAAATATTTATGTGTAGGTGACATACATATGTGGAATTCTCAATCTGGTTTGAATACTCTATAAGCATGGTGATTGGTTTCTTTGTGGATCAGGGACTTGGCTGACCCCCCAAAAAAATTTGATTGTAGAATTGATTTTTCTTGGCTTTGTTAAAAGTAGATTGATTTTAAATCAGGTAATTCCATTTTCCCCCGAGTATCAAACCTTTTTGTTACTCAAAACCTTTTTGTCTGATTATGCACTTTAAATAGCTAGAGTGAGAATTCCACCTCACTTAACATAATCTGTACCCATCGCATTTCCAAATTAGTTACTACTTCTAAGGCCCAGTAACCATACACAAACTCTGTCACAAATCAGCCCCTACTCTGTGCATCATGATCACTTCTGGGTCAAAGGACAACACCAAAACTGTCAAGCATGTTTGGAAATGAGACTTGATGAAAGAGGAGGAATGGTGAGACTTGTTGAGACAGAACCTCCCTCTGGCCCTCCACTAAAAGCAGTAAAATTGTGTGGGGCCCATCACAGCTAATCCATCACATAGACCAAACCCCTCATAAACCCCATCCATCCTTGCATTTATATATCACCTTTCACACAGGGTAGCGTCTTGGAGCAGATTACTCCGCTATAATAATCCCTCCAAAACCAAAAACAATAATAAATTGGTCATTTTCAATCTACGACTGTTTGTGGGACATTGCTGTGCGCAATTGTCTGCCGCGTTCGCCCACAAATATACAGTCAATTCACTTTACAGTGTGTTCTGTGAAGCGCTTTGGGACGTCCTCCCGACGTGAAAAGCGCTATATCAAATGCAAGGATTATTATTATTATTACACACTTTCCAATTCTGTTCTGCCACTCTGGACAGCAAAACAGGAGACCAAAAATCCATGACTGTCCTCATAACCCAGGTTGATCCAGCCACATGCTTCCTGAGTCTACTGAGCATGATCTGTAGCAGGAGAAACATTGATAGTCCAGATTGTATTTATTCAGATTCAAGTAACGTGTGGTATTGCTTCAGTTCAATTGTCAGCAGAAACCTAAGGCTTCGTACATATAGTAATTAGGAAAATCTGGTTGGCAAAAAAACAAGAGACTTTTATAAGGTGCAGTTTCTTTTCTTTATTGTGTCTTAATATGTAAACAAGATCCTCCAATTGTTTTTATTTCCTGGAAACCATTGGTATAGATGAATGATGTGTAAACACTTCTGGTCTGTTTTACTTTCTCCCAAATAATGGACTAATAATTTCCCAGGGAGTACCACGAGTGCAATAGACATCATGTGGTAGTGAGGGAGGAGAGTAAAAATCACAAGACATCAAACTGATCAATAAACTTCCTCAGCAGATCAGGACACAAGAGTTGAGTTCCAATGGCCACTGCAATTACTCATTGAACAAGAGTTTGCAGGAGGAGGTTAAAAGGGAAGGGTGGTCTAGAGAAAAAAATTATGTTCAAAATTATTATATATTTTTTTTAATGGCCCTAGTGGTTTAAACTGGCCTGGACTCCAGCTCTAGGAAATATAGTATTGGCAACACAGTAGTAATTTTCAATCAATACAGTGCTTTTCCAGGAGCAGGCAGCTTCAGGTCAGAGCCTTAGCTGGTCAGAATGTCTGCCACCATTGCAGTAGATGGAATCACTCTGTCACATATCAAGCTCGTTTCTGGCAGCTCTTATTAGGAGGAGAAGGATGTTCCTGGCAAATAAATGGGAAAAACATTTATGAATGATTATGGGATGAATATGTTAAACCATTGAAAAATCTATCTTATCACCAGCTAAATACATTCACTGTACCACAGTTCCACCCACACTCACATGTTCAAAATATTCACTTGTATTTCATTTTCTAATATTTTGGGGGAATGCTTTGAAAAGAAAGCATTTGCCCAAATTTTCTTTCCCTTCCAATAATATTCCAGTTTTGCTTCTTCACAATAACATTTATGTTTGTAACTATGGTTTTAAAACAAATCTCCTAGAGTGAACCTTGGATTAAACCTTGGATTAAATCTGGACCATAAAGATATTATGTGGAGACAAGGATCTTGGAAAAGTCTGATAAAAACTGCGAAGTTATAAAACCCACACCATTGATTGAGAACAAATTGTAGGTCAAAGTCCCAATTTATCTGGTTGATTTTGAACTACAATAATATTAGAACCAAGTTGTCATGCATGACCATTGTAATTCCAGTCAATCAAATTATAAAACTCTTAATTTTTTAATGCACTATACAAAATGCTGATTGGCTATAGTGTCCTTGGAGAGAGTCACGTGAGACAGTTGAGCTTTAGTCAGACACATCACCATCTCAGTGATCAGGCTGATAAAGCCCTGAAATGAATGACCTGTCGAGCTTTAAAAGCAGCGCTGCAGATATGACCCTCACAGTGCTTTGCAAGAGCTCACTCCAGCTGCAGAGATGACTTTCAACGGCACCTGGAAGGTTGACAGAAGTGATAACTATGATAAGTTTATGGAACATATGGGTAAGTGTGGCATGAGAATGGGACAATAGTGAACACATAGAAACTTAACAGGTGCAAAAGATAATGTGCTGTGACTGTAAATTGCAGTGTGTTGTTGACAAAGGGAAAGGTTGCAAAAACACTGCACGGTCAGTGACAAAATGAGTATCAGTAATTATTACAGTCCTGCTTGTTTGTATGGACATATGTGGAATGTTGATATAAACAGGTTCAAGACAAGTGGGTCGCCGATAGTGTGTCTTCTTGGTTCTATTGTTAGCAATATTGGATCTGAGTCAGAAGGATTTTCTTCAAGCCTCGCAGAAGGATAAGCTTAAAGTAGGCTAATACTTCAGTGCAGTAATGCAGTTGTGATGTATTTGCATTGTTGCAGTTGCTATCCTTTGGATAAGATATTAAACCAAGGTCCACTCTGCCTGTTCAGGTCAATGTTAAAGATTCCATGGTCCTATTTGTAAAGAAAAGGAAATTGCTCCTGCTGTTCTGGCCAACAATCCCATTAGAAATTGGTCGATTATTTTATCCCAGTTTGTGGGGCATTATTGTGGCTGCTCCATCTGCCTGTATTTACACACTTCACAGCAATTCTTTGTGAAATGCTTTGAGATGTTCTGGAGTTTTCGACTCTGTATCAAATGCAAGAATTATTATTATTAGAGCATAAAGTGAAATACTGTTGCGCCTACAAATATACAAATTTACACTATATTCTGTGAAGCGCTTTGAGACAGCTAGAAAAAGTGAAAAGCGCTATATCAAATGCAAGGATTATTATTATTACTGAATTCCTAACTTACCTGTTCCAAATGCTGTGGCAGCATAAAGGAACAGCTAGACAAGCTATGAGAAAACATTCTCTTCTCACCATGAAACATAAGACAGCAAAGACAGATAACAGGGTACATTATGCTGTCCAAAAGGCGTGCGTGTCTTGCTAGACAAGTGTTTTCCTGTTGCCAGTGTTCATTTTGGTGGCAAAATTTATATAACATCACCAAATATTGATTTAAATAGCTACAGGGATTACTCTGTGCTCTTTAGTAAATTTCCTGCCCTGATCAGAGGATTTTATTCTCCACTTATTAGTATATTTTCCATCATGACCCCTTCCAATAACTCCAAGAGCACTTTGAGACTTCCTGCCTGACATAATAGGAGCTATATAAATGTTATTTATTATTCTGTTTTAACTTTGATATTTTTACAGATCGCCTCTTTCAGCTTCTCTTTATTTATGTTATTCTGTAGGTACAAAACCTGGTCTATGCTGAGTTAGCTGATCTCACCCAGAGAATTAATTGCCAGTTTAGGGAGAGGAAAATAGTCTACATTTTCTGCTCCTGAGTCCTGTGCAGAGCCCTCTGGTGTGAGCTGCATGCTCATGCATGTTGTGTGAGTTCAGCTGTGAAAGTTCTACAATTAACCAACATGTTAATACTCAGTATTAAAGCCACAAGACAAAACCCTAACGGGTAAGATGGTATTAGCTGGACAAACAGCAGGAAAGCTTGACAGACAATGTTATCATTGACAAGCTATGCATTTTAGCTGGTTAGACTCCAGCAGTACCTCAACGCACACTCTGGTGTCCCCAAGTCTTAGATCTTGACAACCTGCACCTGTTACTTTCTGGAATTAGGTAAGCAGGATGGTCCCTCCAGGGAGAGAAAGCACATTCTATTCCAACAACCTACCTTTGGGATTTCCATGTGTGGGTGTGATGCATGGAATTCTCAGTTTGGTTTGGATACTCTTAAGCACTGTGATGGGTTTCCACATGTATCAGGCTGACCAAAAAAAGGAAGTATGGTTACATTATGCCACAAGGGAACTCAGATGTATATTTATTTAATCAATACCTGAAAAATTAGGGTTTTGGTTTTGTGATAAGATGGACAGCAGTTGATCTCTTATTACCTTTAAAACTCTCCAGTTTTTCTCCCAAATTGGTGGTAAAGAACACAAATTTTAAAAAAAGTCTGCCTTGTTCTGTTCAATCCTCGATAATATGCACTACTGAAAGTGTGATCCTATACAGATTAGAGAACATGATGGAGTGAACATCCTAGAGTTTATGATAAGAAGAAAGATCAACAGTCTGCATGAAACATGCTTCAGTTGCTCTTTATTGACAGTTATTATTTTAACACCAGGGGTCAATGTTGTGAAGAGGAAGCTTGCAGCCCATGACAACCTGAAAATTATAATTCAGCAAGATGGGAATAAATTCGTCGTCAAGGAGTCCAGCACTTTCCGGACAAAAGACATTGAATTCACGCTGGGAGTAGCCTTCGACTATTCCTTGGCAGATGGAACAGAACTGAATGTAAGAATCAAAATGAAAAACAAATGGTTTTATTATAGACATTCTAACCGTCTAGACTGACAATATTGCTTGTGTTTCCCCAACCTTTACAAGAGAGACACTCTGGATCATGAGAAACAATGACTATTGCTTATCCATCCAATTTCCTAGCCCATCAGACATTGTAAATGTTATTGTTCTGATCCCTTTGAATTGAGTCTCTGGTCTAAACAAGTGCAATGATAGATGAGAATCTGAAATACATTTTCACAACTTCTCCTGCACTGGTCCATCTTGATTAACATTGAAGTATAGAAGTTCTCATCCACCCATAGTGTTTCATAACATACAATATAAGCACTAATCACCATGATTTAGTGGTGATTGGAAAATTTAATTATGTTTAACCAATTTAGCTTCAAAATTTATATCCAGCAAGAATAGAATTGTGTTTGGGGTTGAGAAGAGGACAATTTGCAGTGTAATTCATTAATAGTATCTCAAAAGCACTAACAGAGAATCCTGATAGTAACTAAGAGTATTTCACACCCATATCAAATAATCTGTACTCCAAAGCGGTTAAACTAGATTATGGGATTCCCACAAGTTGGCTGTGATGTGCTGCCAGTTACCCATTGGGATTCCCTATTAGTTACTCTGAGTAATTATCTATTAGTACCTCAGTCACTTGTACTGAATCTCAGTATTCAGTATTAACTATTAGTAACTATTAGTAACTATCTATTGGTAATTATCTATTAGTAATTATCTATTAGTAACTGAGTCAATCCTGGCAGAATTCCCTTTTATTAATTCAGTCACTTTTGGTGGATTCTGGTGGGTTTCCCTATTCGTGATTCCAAGTCTCTTTTAGTAAATTCCATTGTGGACCATTCACTCCTGTTCTGCCCCATACTGTATGGCAAGATAGGCCAATAAAGATCAATAATTGGTAACCATTCAAACAATGGATACACCTTCTCTGTAGCCAGATTTACCTATAGCCAACACACACGTAGTGTGTCTTTATTTACATCCTCCAACAACCTAGCGCATCATATTTTCTCCCACCTAAGGTTCTATCTTGCCACTTCCAAGCCTCTGAACCACATAAATAGGGGAGGAAACCATGTAGGTTTGAGCTACTTCCCCTCCTCGAAGAAAGCATCTTATCTCCACCCAATGTCACCCTGATGAGATTTCTCTCATCTCACATCTCATTTCATAAGTGGAGAGAAATTCCACCTGGCCCTAGATTTACTCCTGTTATGTAGCAATTTAGAATTTGCAAAATTTGATAAATTTTTTAATTGCATCTTGACTTTGAAGCCGGATTCTATAATTCCTCAAAAAACTTGGAGAAAAATTGCTTAAAAATTTAGAATTTGCCATATCCTGGCCTAAGAATATAAAGTAAATCTATATTCAGGGTAAATTTCTCCGCCAAAATGCTAACTCTCCAACATGTTGCGGCAGTCAACGTGTATGTTTGACAGTAGAAAACCATGCAAAGTTCAGAAATTAGAAATAACTTTCTTCTTAATATCTATTTTCTCATAGCATTATCATTTATCTTTATGTCTAGCTTAGAGTTCACATAATCATGATTTTATTGAGCAATTCATATAATATTTTCTGGAAACAAATATATTGTGTATGTTGGGACTAAAAGGAATTTTTTTTCATTTTAGGGCTCGTGGGAAACCGATGGAGACAAACTTGTGGGAAAATTCAGCAGGAAAGACAATGGCAAAGTACTCACAACAGTGAGAGATATTGTTGGGGGTGAAATGGTTCAGGTAAATCTGGTTCTTAATATTAATAGTTGTTCTATAACTGTAATAATAATCCTTACAATTTCTGAGCGTTTGATCAGTTATTGAGGTTATACACATCACAATTTTGCACATGCATACTTGAAGAGTTGTTAAAAAAAATTAAGGTCTATAAGGATGAATGAGGTTTGAAATATTTTATTTTAAATAGCATTTTACCATATTCAAATACTTAAGAGCTTACATGGTCAAAATTCAAGTAATCATTGTGGATAATTCAAGATTGCATTATGCTTCCAAACACCATAATTTTTCACCCAATATTAAAATAGTGTAAATTAGCAAATATATGATTCTACATGATCCCAATTAACAATCCCCAAAACGATTCTGTGGAGAAGTAGGACTAGTGGGATGGCTCTTTCAAACAGTCAGCAACATGCACGATGGGCTGAACAGCCTCCTCTGTGCTGTAAGATTCTATGATTCTTTTATTCTATATCATGATGTTTGAGTGATGTTTCAGGTGTAATATTGGTCACATGACCTGATGTACAGAACCATCAGGTCACAATGCCAAAACTTCAAATTGAGGTTTTCTGGCTATCTTAAAGCCTAAAGATAAAATTTAACATAATTTCCAATCAAGCATCTATTGCTAAAACCTCAGAGGCATAAAGGAACAATACAACAACCTGTATTTTTATAGCTTCCTTCAGGTAGGATAACATCTCGGAGCGCATCACAAGGACATCTATTATCTAACTATTACCTTTATAAACTACTACGTGCAATCGGCTGCTGCATTTCGCCAACAAAATATATACAGTCAATTCACTTTACAGTATATTCTGTGAAGTGCTTTGAGACATCTCAATGATGTGATAAGGTCCTCCTATATCAAATGCAAGGATTATTATTATTATCACTACAATAATACATATTACATTTCTTGCAGTCATACAGCTACGAAGGAGTTGATGCAAAGAGAATCTTCAAGAAAGAATAAACTTGAAGTTTGTCTCATTACAACACTTTCGAATAAAGTTTATCCTATTAGCTCTGCTGTCTTGTTTTCTTTCAAAATAAAATTTGAATCTAACTTGAATATATTTGGAAATTCTGTATAACATAAAGGCCTTTCAGCTCAAAAGATCTTGAAGTACTTGTTTATTTTTAACTGGAAATAAAGTTGTCCATATTGTTAAAATAAATTGGCGATTGTGGTTAACATGTTCAAATTGTAAATGATGTATATGATCACAGTGTAGCCACAAAATATGAATCCAGAGAAATATATGAGGATGTCGGCCTGGCTCAGTTAGCAGCACTCTTGCCTTCAACACAGAAGGCTCAATAAATTTGCTGCTATGAATTCCTGAGAAATTGCATATTTTTTCCAGGATCCCCAGTAACTATTTCAAATGTCTGCTGATATGTTGGTAATATTATAGAAATGGTAACATGGAATATCCTTCCTTCATCTGCATTGATTCCTGACTTCCTTTAGAACGCAGGAAACTTGGAAAGGAAGAAATGCTGTGAAGCAGATGTTGGGATGTCCTCTGTCTACGGAAATCTATAATAATTGTCTCTAAGCCAAAAGGCCATGTTCAAATTGTGCCTTAGGAACATTGAAATGTGGGAACAGGATGAGGCTATTTAACCTATCGAGCCTTCTCTGCCGGTCTATTCAATTACAACAAATCTTTTAATGCTACTTCCCTGCTTTTTCTCCTTTCCATTCCACTTATCCTTCATCTTACCTTGACTAGTTCTGCCCAATATCACATCGTGACATGACCGTGATCTACTTCAACCCTACTGACCCGGACATTCCCTTCACTCTGAGATCACTGTACTGCTTCATGTTCCCGACCCTATCTGGCCCACCATCAGGGGGCAGGTTTTCAGCCATTCAGCCTCTGCTCTTTGGAATTCCATCCTGGAATCCCTCCAATTCGTTTCCTCCCTCCCCTCTTTCAAGGCACATTTCAAAAAGTACCTGTTTGACCACTATTTCGATCATCTTTCCCATCCCTCACCGCCCTTGACCCCCATCCCTAGCTCAGGTGCCCAGCTAGCAATACAAAGCACTTTGAGACATCTTCCCGATTTGAAAGACACTGCACGTCAATGCAAATTGTATTGTAAAGCAGGATGTGATTTTTTTCATTCATTCTCAATATTTGGGGGACATAGTCAATTTTCCACCCTGAGAAGGTGATGGCGAGCTTGACTTTTGTTGCTGCGGTTCTTGGAGGCATGTCACTGGCACAATGGAGTTAGGTATGTTATTTGGAATCTCAGGGTCACACTCACATAAAGCAAGTCGCATGAAGGTCAGCATCATCAATACTGTTATCTAACCTGGAGGAGACTGATGGTCTGGCACACCCGAGACAGTAAAGTGTAAATAGCTGAAACAGACGTTCTGTGAATTCTTCATCTTCAAACTTAGGCTGTCATACACAATTTGCTGCTTGGAACCAGGTCTCAAGACTCAAAAGTAATTTCTGTAGTTTACCCAACAAAGGCAAGACATTAAACAAGAAATTTCTCCCCCCCTCCCCCCTCCCCCACCCCCCGAGAGTACTACCAACTAAGTCAGACTGACTATTACTTCAAATTCAACAGCAACCGTATGTTACTATTACCTAAGCATCACAAGTCAGGGTAGTATGAGAAGAACATGAGATGAAGAGGATGATGAGGATGGCGGTTAAAAGGGATGAAGACAGCAATCCCTGGCAACAACAACAACAACTTGCACTTGTATAGCACTCTTCACGTCAGAAAGACATCTCAGGGCGCTGGACAGTCAGGATTTTTTGGCACCTCGTTGTTTAAAGCTGTGCTGATGACCTACTTTTACTTTGCCATGGCGATTCAACCGTGCCTTTGCCTGACAGGAGAGGGTTAGAGAAACAGTGATGAAAAGAAATTGGAGAACGTTTTAGAAATGTTTGTTTGACAGGAAAAAAGATAAGGAGTACTGTAACAATAAAACACGGAAGTTAAAACGGATAATGAACAAAAAAATTAAAAAGAATGAGAAAAAATACAGATGAGGAATAATTAACCATTATTACCCATTATTGTTTTCAAAATAAGAAGTTTGTTTTAGTACAATGTGCTATATATATATATATATAATCCTTGTTTTAGTTTCACACAATCCACAACTATTCACTTATTTTAGAGATTTTGAATCAGGGAGTGCCATGGCCCTAGTTTCCTGCCTACTGTCAAATTTCAACCTCACCCCAAAAGCACTTTGCAGAGTATATTTACATTTTCCTCTTTATCATACCTCCTACTCTTAATGTTATTTTATCTTGTCATTGTCTACTCGTACTAAAACCCAATCCTATTCCAATCCAGTTATTGACGTAGATGTGAGAGGTGGCCTAGAGTGACTAGCTGAAGTTTCCTTCCTTTTATGAAATGAAGCACTTAACCTTGACTCAACGCCTCCTCAAAAGCATGGCAAAGATCACAGCCACCATGTGTTTTTGACTGTTATAAGTGGTGTAAATGAAGACAATAGAATCTGTTGCTTGGTAGCAGCAAAAGAAGGAGAAGAAATTTACAGTCAACTAAATACAAGGGACACATTAAAGGCAATGTCTCCTTTCTATCTCTTCAAAAATTCTTTAATTGATAACTTACAAAACTTAACATCGACACAAAATAAACTTTTTTAAATACAGTAGTGCAGTTATTTTTCTACAAAGTCACCATCATGATCTACACCCGAAGTGAAAGGCACTATACAAATGTTATTTGTATTCTGTTGTATACACACTTGCACCAATGTGGAACCAGTGCCAGTATGCAGTCATGGTAAAGTGATGTGCAAATGGCTTTTTGGTTTCCTTGTGAAGCACAGTTAACATTTATGCAACCCACAGAGTACAAACTTTAGAGTAACCAAAGTTACCAATAGATCTCTAGGGCATGATGCCAATACCAAGACTCACTCACCTCACACTGATGTATCGATCTTTGAGAATCAGTTTGTCAACCTTTCGTGTATTCTCTTCTTTAACAGCTCTCGCCTGCCGGCTGCTGCAAGACCTATCTTAAAGTTCAGTTTCTCACTTTTTATGATTTACGCAGCATCTTTCAGTACTCAAATCAACACATAACTGTCCATACATTTTAATCATGCAATGGTGAATCTAATTCGTCAAAATCCCCTCAAATGTGAGAAACTTAATTTCTGTTCTCTGCTTAACCCATTGTCAGAGGTACTGACTTTGGATGAAACTTTAAAACAAGGTCTAGTTTGCACGTTCAGGTTAACAATAGAGATTCCATGTTTCCATGCAACCCTTGGATTTTATATAATGCTTTATCATGCCATCCAGATGTTTCAAAGCACTTCACAGGATTTTACTGTGTGTTTGTGTATTGTGACTGTATATTTGTAGATTAACTTCTTGAAATGAAAAGGATATCCTAGTGTCCTGGCCAACAATCTCCCAGATAAAAAAAAGGTCATGGTGTTTCTGAGATATTGTTCTGCACACATTGGTAGCTTTGTTTGCCTAGAAATATACACTCATTAGACTTTACAAAAAACCTCTTTAAAATGCTTTGAGATGTTTTGATGTGTTAAGGCATGATGGCAATGGATCAAATGCAAGATTGCTTTAAGATCCCATGCGAGTTTAACGCTATACTTATTGTCTTGATATCCTAATTGAAAGCTTTGAAACATTTCAAGATTGCTGGCTCCTCTCCCATGTGGCCAGCACGCCCTTTATTTTCTCTGATACCTTTGCCACCATTACTAATATTTTGTTCATCTGAAAGAACAAATAGGGCACTGAAACCCTGTAAAGTCAGAGTTGGATTCTCTTGTCTTTAAAATAAGCAATGCTTTCACTGTTTTTTAAAAAAAAACGTTTTATCTAAGACAATCTCTGTTGACAAAATAGAAGACTTGAATCCCCAGTTTATCAAGCTGTATTAAATAAACGGTTCTCAAATAAAAATCTACCCAATGATAACCCAAATCCACCAATTTCATCTGTTATTTCCAAAAGATTTTCCACAATAGGCAAATAACGTGTTAGTCTGCAATCTCGTGATTTATGACCTAACTTCTCTGACCTCTTGCAACTGTGGCCATTAACTCTGCTCAGTGAACATCTGCCTGCTTCATGTTCCCCTGCCCAAACAGCCTCATCACCAGTGGGTGATCTATCTGAGTTGCATCCTCACTCCCTGGAACTGTATGCCAGAGTCCTTCTACCTCACTGCTTATTTCCGCACCTTTAAAGCTTGCTTCAAGACCTTTTCAATTGCCCTTTTGATCAGCTACCCACCATCGCCCCCCTAGAATCATAGAAATTTACGGTGCAGAAAGAGGCCATTTGGCCAATTTGAATCTACACCAGCTCTCAGAGCAAGCTGATAATTCAATTCCACTGCTCTTCAAGCCTCTATCTTTCATAAACCTGTCTACTTCCCTCTTGCAACCCACAATGGACTCTGCTCACCTTACTTTACAGGTTATTCCATATCCCCAAAACTCTCTTGAGTGAAAAAGCTTGGGCTCACAGTTTGCTCTTTAAAAGCTCTCCTGATGTGAAAGACACTATGAACAACAATAACTTGCATTTATATAGCATCCTTTATGAGGGCTAGCATCTCTGAGCACTTAACAGTGGCGGAGCCTGACGCTGAGCTGGGGGGGAGGGGAGGTGACTGAAGGCACGGTTGAAGAGGAAGCTCTTCAGGTGTGATCTGAAGATAAGCAAGGTGAGGTAGCAAATCGGAGACATTGAGGCAGAGAGTTCCATAGTTTCATGGCACTGTATAGTGGAAGCCGCTTAAGCTGGACAAATCGGGGCCAGACATTTTGTCCAGGTTGAGGTTAACCAAACTTTTCTTATTTCTTCCCGCCCAGCAGAGGAGCAAGGGTGGTGCTTTCTCCTTCCCATTGCTATTCCCATTGGACTGGAAGAGGACCAATTAGCTCCGAGGTGATTAAAAACAGGTAAGAATATAAATGAATTGGGGTCAGGTGGTTGGTTTGAGTCACCCAGCGGCTGGGGTTTTGCGGTGTCCAGCTAAAGCCGCTTTCACAAAATAAATGTAAAATTGTTGTCTGTTTTACCGAACAAAAACAACAAATGGGTGGATGCCTTTCATAGGGGGTAGCGTCCCCGAGCGCTGTTTTTTCCCTGAACCTCTGATTTGTTTTTATGCACAAAAGGTTTTTTTTTCATTCCGCCTTTAGTCACACCTTCCTGAACTGTATGTCACAATCTGGGTGCAGTGGTGCAATCTGCCCTGATCTCATGCAGGGACAGTGTGGGGCTGGGTTTGCCAGGAATTGAAATAGATTAAGAGCCCAAAGTCTACCAAACACTAGCTCAATATTATGCATCGCCTCCTTTGGGTTGCAGCAAAGTGGCCAATTCAGAGTCACTGCATTTGAAGCCGTGTTTAAAAAAAAGGTTTTAAAAAAAAGTTTTGCTGGTTTTAAATTTAAAAAATTAAAAGTGAGGCATCCACCCATTCGTGGAATCCTGTAGCTCAGTGGGTAGAGCACTTGCCTTGCAAGCGAGAGACCGGGGTTCAATTCCAGGCAGAGTGAAACCTTCCTTACTCCACACGCCTAATAATAATCCCTCCAAAACAAAGCAATAATAAATTAGTCATTTTCAATTCACGACTGTTTGTGGGACACTGCGGTGCGTAATTGGCTGCTGTGTTTCGCCCACAGATATACAACAATAAAATGACATTTATAGAGCGCTTTTCAAATCGGGAGGACGTCCCAAAGCCCTGAACAGTTAGGTGTCGGGGCCCGAGCATGGGGGGGTGGGGGGGGGAGGGGGGGGGTGTAGGGGTGGGGTGAGGGAAGGCGGAGGTTGGAGGGCGAACGGATGCACCATCAAAGAGAAGGGTCTTGAGATCAGCCTTGAAGGAGGCAAAAGAGGAAGCGAGGAGAAGGGACCGAGGGATGGAGTTCCAGAGAGTGGGGGCAGAGAGGCTGAAAGCCCGACCACCGATGGTAGGGCGGGTCAGGCGGGAGACACGGAGCAGACCGGAGCCCACTGAGCGGAGGGAGCGGGCAGGTTGGGAGGGAGGCAGCAGGTCAGAGCGGGAGGAGGTGCAGTCAATTCACTTTACGGTATATTCTGTGAAGTGCTTTGAGATGTCTTGGGGACATGGAAAGCGCTATATCAAACGCAAGGATTATTATTAGTAGTAGTATTAGTACTATTAGTTTTATTAGTATTATTAGTATTATTAGTATTATTATTAGTAGTAGTAGTATTAGTACTATTAGTATTAGTAGCAGTAGTAGTAATAGTATTATTAGTATTAGTAGTATTATTATTACTATTACTATTATTAGTATTACTGTAGTACTAAAGCTGATTTATTGACAGCTGTAACAGGCCGCACAATTTGCGCACATCGCTCCAGAGCACGTCACGGCAGCCACGCCTCCAGAGAAGAACCAGCCAATCGGAGGCCACGGTCGCGGTGATTGACGTGAAGCCGCACCAACCGCGAGCGAGGCGCGAGACCCGAGGATTGCGCGTTGTGATTGGCTGCGCGGGACGCTCTTCCGATTGTGACGCTATGGCGGGGGCGGGGCGTGGAGTGTGAGCGCGGGGGGTCCGCGAGGCTGAGGCTGACAGTGAGTGTGAGGGCCATGGAGCCGCCCGAGCAGGAGAAGCTGCAGCGCCGCCAGCAACAGCAGCAGCAAGAGCTCGAGCTCGAGCTCCAGCGTCAGCACCAGGAGCGGCCGGGAGCCCCGCCCCATCCCAACTGCCCGCTCGCTCTGGCCGTCCATTCCTACTGGTTCGACTTGTGGCTCTTTGTGCTCTTCGACCTGGTGCTGTTTGCCATCGTTTACCTACTGTGACCGCCCGACCCCGACCCCGGAAACCCACGGACCGCCTCCTCCCGACACCGCGCTCGGGGAAAGTTGGTTTCGGCTCCACTCCCCGACTGGCGGGTAGGTTCCCCCTCACTCCACACAGCTCACCCCCCCCCCTCCCAACCCCCCCTCCTCACCCCCCAACCCCCCTCCACACAGCTCACCCCCCCCAACCCCCCTCCTCCTCACCCCCCAACCCCCCTCCTCACCCCCAACCCCCCCTCCTCACCCCCCAACCCCCCCTCCTCACCCCCCCAACCCCCCCTCCAACCCCCCCTCCACACAGCTCACCCCCCCCCACCCCCCCTCCTCCTCACCCCCCAACCCCCCTCCAACCCCCCTCCACACAGCTCACCCCCCCCACCCCCCCTCCTCCTCACCCCCACAACCCCCCTCCTCCTCACCCCCCAACCCCCTCTCCCACCTCCTCACCCCCCAACCCCCCTCCTCACCCCCCAACCCCCCCTCCTCACCCCCTCCACACAGCTCACCCCCCCAACCCCCTCCAACTCCTCACCCCAAACCCCACTCCACACAGCTCACTCCCCAAACCCCCTCCTCACCCCCAACCGCCCCTCCCACCTCCGAGAGAGAGAGAGAGGCGGTGAGAGCGAGAAAAAGAGGCGGTGAGAGCGAGAGGCGGTGAGAGAGAGAGAGAGAGAGAGAGGCGGTGAGAGAGAGAGGCGGTGAGAGCGAGCGAGAGAGAGAGGCGGTGAGAGCGAGAGAGTGGCGGTGAGAGAAAGAGGCGGTGAGAGCGAGAGAGAGGCGGTGAGAGCGAGAGTGAGGCGGTGAGAGCGAGAGTGAGGCGGTGAGAGCGAGAGTGAGGCGGTGAGAGCGAGAGTGAGGCGGTGAGAGCGAGAGTGAGGCGGTGAGAGCGAGAGTGAGGCGGTGAGAGCGAGAGTGAGGCGGTGAGAGCGAGAGTGAGGCGGTGAGAGCGAGAGTGAGGCGGTGAGAGCGAGAGTGAGGCGGTGAGAGCGAGAGTGAGGCGGTGAGAGCGAGAGTGAGGCGGTGAGAGCGAGAGAGAGGCGGTGAGAGCGAGAGAGAGGCGGTGAGAGCGAGAGTGAGGCGGTGAGAGCGAGAGAGAGGCGGTGAGAGCGAGAGTGAGGCGGTGAGAGCGAGAGTGAGGCGGTGAGAGCGAGAGTGAGGCGGTGAGAGCGAGAGTGAGGCGGTGAGAGCGAGAGAGAGGCGGTGAGAGCGAGAGTGAGGCGGTGAGAGCGAGAGAGAGGCGGTGAGAGCGAGAGAGAGGCGGTGAGAGCGAGAGTGAGGCGGTGAGAGCGAGAGAGAGGCGGTGAGAGCGAGAGAGAGGCGGTGAGAGCGAGAGTGAGGCGGTGAGAGCGAGAGAGAGGCGGTGAGAGCGAGAGTGAGGCGGTGAGAGCGAGAGAGAGGCGGTGAGAGCGAGAGTGAGGCGGTGAGAGCGAGAGTGAGGCGGTGAGAGCGAGAGTGAGGCGGTGAGAGCGAGAGTGAGGCGGTGAGAGCGAGAGAGAGAGGTATGTGGAGTAAGGAAACTTGCCCAACATTTTGCCCTGTCGGGAATCAAACCCAGGTCTCGCGCTTGCCAGGCAAGGCTCTAACTACAACCGGCCTTTGCTGTAATGTGGAATTGTTTTCATCCAGTTTACAAACTAGAACAGAAAGGCAAAATATGTGAAGAAAGGCAAAATCTGTGAAGGATAATAATAATAATCCTTGCATTTGATATAGCGCTTTTCACGTCGGGAGGACGTCCCAAAGCGCTTCACAGAACACACTGTAAAGTGAATTGACTGTATATTTGTGGGCGAACGCGGCAGCCAATTGCGCACAGCAATGTCCCACAAACAGTCGTAGATTGAAAATGACCAATTTATTATTGTTTTGTTTTGGAGGGATTATTATTAGGTGTGTGGAGTAAGGAAACTTGCCCACGGTTTCGCCCTCTGCCTGGAATTGAACTCAGGTCTCTCACTTGCAAAGCGAGTGCTCTAACCACTGAGCTACAGGACTCCAGTTAAAGTACATTAAGTTACATTAAGAGAAAAAGAAAAACGAAGGATGGAATAGGGCCATTGAAGATAGGATCGGGTGAGGATATGACAAATCATGTTACACAAGCTGCAGAAGTACAAAATAAATTTTTGCCTCAGTTTTTAGTAAAGAGGAAACAGGAAATTTATTGGATCTGGAAAGAGAACGCAGCAGTGTTGCAGAGGCAAGTTGTGACACTATACATATCACTACCAGCATGGTTGCCAAACAACTGCACAAACTTAAGGTAAACAAAGGCCAGATAAATTGCATCCAAGGATCCTTAAGGAACTAAGGGAGGAAATTGCAGGAATTCTGTCACAAATCTTTCAGAAATCACTGGATACTGGAGAGGTTCCTGGGGGCTGGAGAAAGGCAGATGTTCTTTACTATTTATCCTGTCCTATTTTTAAAAAAGGTAGCAAAAGTGACCCAGAAAACTCTAGCCCAGTGAGTTTGACATCCATTGTGGGTAAAGTTATGGAGATTCTTATTAAAAAATAAGATCATTGGGCATCTGGACAATAATAAAATGAGAAAGGTTAGCCAATATGGATTTATTAAAGGGAGATCCCATCAAACTAATTTACTGTTTTTCTTTGATGGTGTGACAAAGGAGCTTGATAAGGGTAAGGCAGTGGATGTTGTATATCTGGATTTCAGTAAGGCCTTTGATACAGTTCTTCATGAAAGGCTGGTACTGAAAATAAAGAAAGCAGGAATCAGAGGAAGTGTCTTACAATGGATACATAATTGGCTGACCGATAAAACCCAGAAGGTGGTACAGGGAATAATAATAATAATAATCCTTGCATTTGATATAGCGCTTTTCACGTCAGGAGAACGTCCCAAAGCGCTTCACAGAACACACTGTAAAGTGAATTGACTGTATATTTGTGGGCGAACGCGGCAGCCAATTGCGCACAGCAATGTCCCACAAACAGTCGTAGATTGAAAATGACCAATTTATTATTATTGTTTTGTTTTTTTGGAGGGATTATTATTAGGTGTGTGGAGTAAGGAAACTTGCCCAAGGTTTCGCCCTACAGTGTTTCACATGGGGATGCAAAATCCAGGAAGGGACTATTATTTAATTTCAAATCTGTACAGAAATCGAAAAGGACCTGGGGATCCTGATTGACAATAAATTGAAGCTATTGCAACAGTGCTCAGTAGCAGTGAGTAAGTGAAGAAACTGCTTATTAGACCTTTGAATTTCCCTTCCTTAAATTTTCATTAACAAAATACTTCTAAATTAGACAGTTATTGCTCACTTCAATTATCTCTAGTTCATTGTATACAAATGTGCCATGTTTCAATTGTGAGAGGGGATTTATTTAGACTGTAATGATTATTGTAGTGCAGTTTTAGGTGAGGGTTGACATCCTTCATTAAAACAGTTCACAAATCCTGTAAAGCGTTTTGAGACTCCCTCCTGACGTGCAAGGTACTATATTGAATACAATGATTTATTATAAACTGGGGTCCTGTGTCCTGTTCAGGTGGATGTTACAGATCCTATGGTACTATTCGAAAAGAGAAAGGCATTTCTTCCAGTGTCCTGGCCAACAATCTCACAAATAAAACTTGTCATTCACTGGATGGTTTGTGGAGCTTTGCTATATACAAAAATTGGTTGCCATGTTCCCCTAAAAATATACACACTCGTGCTTTACAGTAAATCCTATGAAGCACAGTGAGATCATTCAATGACTCAGTAAGCTGCTATATGAAATGCAAAGATTATTTATAACATGTGAAGTTTTAAACCATAAGAATGGAAAGAGCCTCAGGCTCGTGCAGCCAACTGAGTTTGGATGATTGCAATGTTTCAGTCCAGCTTCACTGAATGTGAGTGAAGATTGCCCATAATTTCTCAGGCCTTTCCTTGCATAACTGAATGTTTTGGAAGTTGAACTACATTGCTCCTCCAAGTCCACTGAACCTCTTTATATTATTGACAATAGTTGTATAACTGCAACTGATACACTCCATGCAGCGCTGGAGATATCCCACATTGTCAGGAACCGTCCTTTGGATGAGATGTTCAACGGGGGCTCCATCTGCCTATTCAGATAGAGGTTATAGATCCCATCTCACTATTCGAAAAGAACAATTCCTTCAAATGTTATTCACTTCCTTGACTGTTTGTGGGACATGTTTGCCCACAAAAAACAGTCACTCCATTTTATTGTGTATCTTGTGAAACACTTCCAGATATCCTCAAGATGTAAAATATTTTTTATACTTCTCTATACAGTTAAATATCTACGCCTTATGACTTTAAGATTGTTCAATACAGTGAATATGTGCAAGATCCTAGCCACATTTCTCGTGTCATTGTCCATCAATAAAGAATTGTCATAGGTTTGTTTTTCAACAGATATGCTTTTTAACCTCTTCTGTGGAAAATATTCTGTCCACAAAGATTTGTTAAAAAATGTATTATTTTATATGTAGAGAAACAGCAACTTAGTAGAGTCATTTCCTTGATTTTGAAGCAAACTTGGTTTTACCTTTTGTCTCTGACAAGTGTCCAAACACAACTCTGTGTTGAATGTGTAAGTGAACATAGAACAAAAAGAGAAGTGTAGAATTATTTAGATGTTGTCGTTGAATTATTTCTACTATTGGATTTCTAATTGTTAAACTTGTTTTACAGCAAGAGTTGTGTCCTATCTTTTATATTGCTCTATATGCTCCCTCTTGGCGATGTCATCTGCAGACACGGGGTAAACTTCCACATGTATGTGGATGACACACAAATCTACTTCTCCAGCTGCGACTCGAGGTCCACCGATGTCCTGTCGGCTTGTCTGACTGACAGCAGGGCCTGGATGAGCACAAACTTCTTGCAACTAAATGTTGATCAGACGGAAGCCATACTCATAGGCTCCCGACAATGTCTTCTATTCTGCGGCTCTGACCTCAACCTCCCTGGCCTATCACTCAGACTCACTGAACCGGTGCGCAACCTAAGCGTTAGATTCAACCTACATTTAAATTAAATTAAGAGGGAGCATATAGAGCAATATAAAAGATAGGACACAACTCTAGCTGTAAAACAAGTTTAAATTAAATTTTAAATCCTTTCTTCCCCACATCCGGTCCCTGACCAGGACCGCCTTCCTCCAACTCCGCAACATTGCTCGCATCTAATCGTACCTTACCCCAGACACAGCCAAAACACTCATGCATGTGTCCATCACCTCCCGAATCGACTTTTACAAATGCCTTCCTCAACAGTCTCCCCAGCTCCACCGTCTACAAGAACCAGCTGATCCAAAACTGCCACCCAGATACTCACCCTTATTAAATTCCGTACTCCCATCATACCAGTTCTAGCCAGGCTCCACTGGCTCCCTATTGCCAAATGGATTGATTTCAAGATCCTCACACTCATTTTTTAAATCCCTTCGTGCCCTAACTCTCCGACCTACTTATTCCCCAACCCACTACCCACTGTCTCCACTCGACTGTCTCCAACTTCCTGCATGTCCCCTGTGCTCTCCGTTCCACCATCAGTGGCCGTGTTTTCAGCCACTATGCCCCAAAACTCTGAAACTCTTTGTCTCTCCGCCTTGCTCCTTCCTTCCCCATCTTCAGATTGTGTGTCTGAAAACCCTCCTCTTTGACCATGCCTAGTCACCTCCACCTCTGTCAAGCGCTCGGGGATGCTATCCTGTGTGAGGGGCACTGTATAAATGCAAGTTATTGTTATTGCTGGCTGCAAGATGATGGAAAGTTTCCCTAGTGCCCTGCTAAACTGAACAAATACTAACCTGCACAATAAGGTACACTCGAGACTCTTTTTGAGTTTTATCTATCCTGACTTGATATGCACCTGGTGCTCTCTTTTGAACATAGTTTCTTCCCTCTCAAAATACACAAACGGAGGTCTATCTTGAGAAATGTTTTACTCGACAACCATGCCATTTTCTTGCCACTAAACTGTTTTATACTATAATACCAATCTTACCCAGAAATTCGACAGACATGAAAGTTTGTTGGTAAGTTAGAGATAACTGCATTTGTGTAGTTTCTGTTTGCAGATGGTGCTGTGAGATCTGCTGAACAGAATAAATGGAACAAATAATACTACAATGTAGGCTGCAGCATACGTTCAAGCACCTATATAAAGGGTCAAATAAATTCTGCAGAAGTTTGTTTTTTAACACTTAGTTTGCAAAGTAAATTGTATCTTTATTATCTAATTATTCTGATGAAATGTTCTTTATTTTTCAGTGGTTACCTTGGAAGTGATGCATGTCAGAGACTTTTATCGCTGTGGATTTCCATGTTTACAGATCAACAAATGGGAACAACTGCACGTTTATAGAGTGGAGCATTTGACAGACGTTCCAACATTCCAAAGTCACGATGTTTCTGAATGTCTTGTGAAGACCAGGGTCCTGATCCCTTCTCTTTACTAACAAACTGTTTCTCTAAGACTGCAAGTGATTTATGGTAATAGCAGGCAAATTGCCATAAACATTAAATTTCACTCTGCTGAATTTGTGCTGTTGAATTTATTTTTGGATGTGTACGTGGAGTAGCATATTTGACAAATGTTACACCTTGAACTTTCATTGTTGCTTTGAAGAACAACAAAATTACATTTGTATAGCGCCTTTCACGTTGGAAGGACGTCCCAAGGCGCTGGACAGTCAGTGTTTCGGACCTGAGCTGGCGGTTGGGGAGGGTGGAGGACAGTGGGGGAAGGAGAGTGATCGAAGGCATGGTTGAAGAGGAGGGTTTTGAAGGAGGTGGCAAGGCAGATGGGAGTTTCAGAGGGTGGCAGAAGGCATGCCTGCCAATGGTGGGGCAGGTGAGGTGGGGTACATGAAGCAGGTCAGAGCCTGCTCAGTGAAGGGAGTGGGCAGGATGGTAGGGTGTTAGGAGGTTGCAGAGGTAGGGGGGAGCAAGGCCATGGAGGGCTTTGAAGGTGAGGACCAGGATCTTGAACTAGGGTGATAGGGTTATGGAGCCTGGTGACACAGGTTACAGAGACTGGATGATCTGCAGTCTATGGAGGGAAGAAGGGCCTCTGGGGGAAAAAATATGCAAATGCTACTTTGCCTTGTCCTTTCTTCAGGTTGGTAATGTAAACCAGATTGGCTTATGGGTGGGCAGTAGCATAGAAAGAGAGGACTTATTTGGGGTACAATGGCTCCATAGCGCTTGGTAATGGAAGCCTGGTCAGCAGGACAGTGGAGACCAGTCCTTTGAAGCAGGGATTTCTCCCACTCAGCTCCTATTAACCATGTAACCCAGCAGCATAACAGATAGGGTTGTACAGCTGAACAAGCAAGCTATGGTTTCAGCTGGTTTTAAACTCCAGCAGCTTTCCAATCCACAGGCGGGCTCTTGCATCAAATACTTCTTGGAATTGGCTAAACTGAGCACATTCCTCTGGGGTGAGAGTAGTCATTCAGTTCCACACAAGGAAGACGAACATGGCACTTTTAGCTGTTTACAGGCTAATCCTTGCAGTTGATATAGTATCATGTCAAATGTCTGAATGCACTTCACATGATTCATAGGTGTAACCATTTGAAGGCAAATACACAACAGCTAATTTGCACACAGAATTAGGCTACAAAGGGAATGACTAATTATTTTATCTGGGGATGGTTAGCCAGGATGCCAGGAGCAACTCTGTTTTGAATATGGGATCTTTAGTCTCTACCTGAACAGGAAGAGGGGTTTGCTTTAACATCTCATCTAAAGGATGGCACCTCTGGCGATGCAGCACTCCAAATCTCATCCTAGATTATGAACCACAAGCTTCTAATTCAGAGACAAATGCTATCAACTGAGCTGGGCTGACAGTGAAGGGAGTGAATCTCCAGGTTTAATAGCATTTTTAAAAACCATACACCATGGAGCGACAGCTGGATGCTTGTTATTGATCTGCAAGTTAATGCTTTTTATATGTAATTAACCATTTGGTTAAATAGACTCAAATCCAAAATGGCATAGTTTGAGTTTTAGAAGTATAGAAATTACAGTAAAGGGCCTTAAGCCTGGGATGCCTTTGAATGCGTTTTCATCCAATTCTGCCATTTTCCCATATCCTTTTATTGAACTTTTTCTGAATGTCTAATCCCATTTTGAAAGCAGAGAATCAAAAAGGTAACATGTCATGACTTAACCCTTCACTAGGAATAGAAAATCACAGGGTATCATTAAAATTCCTGTTATCAATTCAACTGAAGTGTGAGTACAGATGGTGCACTCAAATGCATACAAAGCATCTATAGATATTACCAGAAATATAGAAATCTTATCAAAGGACCAGTAAATATAAACAGATCTTCTTTTCGCCTTAGCATATGCTGAATAATGCTGCTCTGTGAAGAAGTTTTACATTGCATGCTTAATTTGACTTTTTTTGCATACTGCTTCACAGTTGAAGTTTACATATAGGTATTGGAATAGAGGCACATTTGTATACAATGAACTGGAGATCATTGAAGTGAGCAATACATTATAGGATAACTTTACTGTCTAATTTTATAGTATTGTGTTAATGAAAATGTAAGGAAGAGAAATTAAACTGTTTAATAAGCAGTTTCTTCACCCAAGATCTGATCTTTAACTCGTCCAAAGAATTTTCCTAAAAGGTACTACTGTTCAGCTCTATTCTATCATTTGAAATTGACAGCGATTAAAACTCCACCCTCCACAATGAGGTATCTAAACAAAGGCAAAATTAAGCAATCAATTGCTATTAATTATCAATTTTTCACATGGCGAGTTGTTTGTTGGAATGCATTGCCTGAAAGGGTGGTGGAAGCTGATTTGATAAGAACTTAAGGGAAGTAGATAATTATTTGGGGAGGACAAGTTTGCAGGGCTATGGGGAGAGAGTGGGGGTGTGGGATTGAATAGTTCTTTCCAAAGAGCTGCCACAGACATGATGGGCCAAATGATCTTCTTCTGTGCTGTATAATGAATAAGTTTTGTATGTATGAATGAGTTTTCACCCATAGTCATGGTGATTGTGCCATCAGTAAAATCTAATTAAAGTATTCATCAATTTAAAATAATTTACTGTTACTGAAGCTTGTACATATAAGGACCGAGAGTGGTATGTGATGTGTATATATTTCAGGATGAAGCTGGACCATGAGGTTGTATAAGCTCACAATGCAAGTAAAGACAACATCTAAAAATAGAATTAACATAGTTTATTTAAACTCTTCATACTTATTTGCTGCTAGGAAAAATGTTAATGCACGTAAATGGAAACCTTTTTATACATATATGTAAATATATTTCTCAAAATATGTATCCAAAGCATAAATCAGTGTGTTACAAATATTTGCTCATTTTTACATAGAAAAATAAATAGGCACTTAGTATCAGTCACAATTTGGTCTTTAAATGTCCTTAGGTTTGACTGTTCTATTAACTGCATAAATTAATGTCAAGTGTAGAAATTTTAACAGTATATTTGTAATTATGGCATGAATTTATTACAAATTATATTTAAATTCTTAAGGCCATCATTTTAGATATTTCTATAAGTAGTTAAAATTATAAAATGGTACATCAGAAATCTGTTGCATAAATTAAAGTTTAGATGGCAGCACAAGATTAATGTTTAGGGCAAGGTTCAGTTAGTTAAACAGATACAAATCCTCTTTACATTCACAATTGAATGACAGTTCTAAAGATGGTGCAGCCATTAATGGCAATGCAATTTTTGCTGTAAAGCCAGCAAATAGAAAAAAATCTATTTTGACAAAAATGTCAAAACTGCTCTCACAATGCAAACTCTTATGCCATCCACATGACAATTTAAGGTAAATATTTCAAACAGATATCCAAGAAAACATTGCTTTGTCTATATAAGGTAAATAATATTTTGTTGGGAGAATAGGGAAATACATGTATAAGGACCATGGATGTCTTTTTATCCACAAAATAAACTATTTAATCAGAGTTTAATTTTCATGTTAAAAAAAAAAGGGTAGAGGGGGGAAAAAAGTGATGTGGGTAAATTCAATGGAAAAAATCTCAGGAAAACAATATTGTGTTATATACCCATTATAAAAGGTATAACAGGTAAAGGTAGAATAGAATACCAAAAATTCACAGCACAATGCTAAAGCACCTTCATTCTCTGATCGTTAACTACAAGCAACTCTGGAACAAAATGGAATACTTGGCATCACAGAGGTCAGAAGTCACCTCAGAGCGCATAATTTGTGTTTATAGTTAGGGCTGTGATTGATGTGCGCATCTCCTGGAAGCTGAAAAAAACTTTTATATGAACAATTATTTGAGATCCACCAAAAAAAAAAATTCACATGGGGGAAAAACGTATAAAAACTTAGATTAAATGTCCCTACAAATTAATTGTTCATTTTTTTCTTAAATTACAGTACCTCAGAAAATTCTCTTTCATGTTTTTCTGAAAGAGTCGACTCCTACTTGGGGCAGTTCCATGGACACACTTGGTACCTTGTCCAAATGGTCATCACTTTAGTGAATGCTAGCAGACAGTTCGATTTGGGGGGCTCCACAGCCAAACCTAATCCACTCCTTACCAGACATCCACACATTCCAGCAGAGGTTTGTCTATTGGTAGCAATTAGGAGCTGGAACCATGGTTGAATTCCCCCTACCTAATATAGGGACACTGAGGTCACATGATAATACTCTGGCTGAGAGTATTAGATTAGTTGCTGGAAGACGGAATTTAAATTTCCAATTCTGATCAGTTTTAGTACTTGTGGTACACGGTTGGATTGCCTAATGCTGCACTTCATATTGCCTTTACCTACTGGCTATCATCAGAGAAAGCTCCAAATGTTTCTACTGCCTACACAGAATAATTTTCGTTTCATAAGTGTTAATACAAAAATATTTTCCCTAGAATATTGGAAAGGAAGTAATTTTTGAGATTAACAAAAGTTATGTTTTAGTGGGTTTAGTGTTTTTGAGAGCTTGGTGGTCCTGGAAAGACAATCTAACTTAATCTGCATTAACTTCTTAAACATTCTCATTGAGACTTCCTGTGAATCATTTTTAGTTATGGGTGGCTGAGCTTTCTGCTAATTCAATTCATCGATAATAGAATCACTTCATACAAATTTTTCGAAATGGCACCATTTTAAAGGCAAACGTGATATTGGGAGATTTGGATTCTCCACTCTGAATTACATTATACTGTTCACAATTAACATTCTGGTTTATTGCAAAGGAGGCTTCTTTTTTTCAGGATTACAAAATATCGATAAACCACAATTGTCAAAAATATTGCTTTCTATACTGCTTTGAAGATAAATCACTAGTGTTTTTCCCTTCTAAATTAAACTTGGATGATATTTGTAACTAATAAGTTTTTCTTTTATGAAAATTTTAGGCAATACCTATACTCCTTATGGCAATCAATTGATTTTTAAAGTCCATACATTAAAATAGTAAAAAAATACTTTATAGTAAACAAATAAGGTACTTATCTGAAACTCTGAAATTGCTACTGGTGTATTTTATAGTAACTTTTTCTTAGGATTTAACCACAAGTGAATTAGTAGCATAGTGTTTACTAACTTGTAAATTAGTGGCATAGGATCAAAGACAGGAAACCTTGAAAATACTTTCATATAAAGACCAAAATTACAGTTTATACAAAGTTAGAAAGTTATAAATCTGGAGCTTAAAGTGTACAATATAAACAGTTCTTGTCTGTTTTTTAAATAGTTGCATATCTTCACTATTTACAGTATCTGTGACAAGGAACAAATAAATACATTTATTTTCACTGCCTGCCATCCCGACTGGTAGCTGCCCTCTATTGGCCAATTTCTGAAACTTTACCCAATGTCTTCGGAAGGTTTTTGTGCAGTTTTTCTCTTGCCTTTGGTTATTCAACTATCCAGTCTTTTTAAAACTAGTTTATTGTTGAAGGTAGGCCCAATCTCCATAATGACCAAACAGTTTTGTTAATAGTTTCTTGCACTTCGTAACTTTTCAGGTTGTTGATACATCACTGGTGCAGACAAGCCTGATCCATGGTTTGCATCTGAAAACAAAAGGTCAATTGTGTAACTCAGAAGGACCTAACCCATTTAAAACAATGAAAACCTAAGCCACCATGGAATAAACCCAGTCTATCCTCAAAGTCAGGACGTCAGAAACATATCAAAGCAGTAACTTAGGCTAAAACAAATATTACAACTTCAAATATATTCACACTGCTCAATTAGGACCTACATAAATATAAAGCTTTGGAACAGTGAGTTTGATATTTACATCGTTTGATAATGAGGTGCTATAAATAAAACAGAAGTACTCATTTTTAGGTCCCACATTTCTCCTTAAAAAATGTGGAAAAGAGAAAATTCTGACAGCCACATTACAAAATGTTCCCAATGCTAACTCACTGCCATTTACAGCAGCAAGGTTTTAAAGCCTGATGCAAAAATTAGTGCTGCACTGCAATTTAGACACATGATTTTCAAATTTTGGGGCTTTTCTGAAAGTTTAATTTAACATTACCCTATCGCCCACCACCAACAACATGAGCAGTACTCTCAGGCTAAAGCTGCTCCTCAACTGACCTTTAGAAGACTAGAGCAGCACAGGCTTATCCTTGTGTTGCAAATGTATAATGGAGAGTGGAAGCATTCCCACACTATTCTAATGATTTGGTTGTGCATCGTTCTGTGCACATGGAGCAGTTTTTTAAAAAATTACTGTACCTTGCAAAATATAGTCACTTTCCCAGTAAGTTTCCATTAAAAATAACCCAAAATGACCAGCTTCTGGAGTGGGGTTGGGGGAGGAGAAAGTACGCAGGGGAGGGGGAGTGGGGGATGTGAAGCAAGCCTGAGTGTAGAGCAAAAAGTGTGAATGGGGGAGTTGAACTGCAGGATATCACAGAAGTAGTTGGACAAGAAAGCTTCTGAACACAGACCCAAAAAGGTCAATCTCAGACAGTTTTCACGTCTAAAAGTGAACAATTTGCCTCTACCCTATCCCCACAAATCACTGGGCCACTTGTTCAAGGAAGGTGTTTAAAACTCTTCTCCTGTAACTGAAAGGAATGGTAGTCATGAATTGAAACATGTACATCATGTTTACCATCTTCCATAGTAGTTACCCAAATTTATGCAATTATGCTTCAATTGTTGGTAAATACCTGTTTCATGTTTTTGCAGTCCTAGCTACAAGTGGGGTGTTCCTTTTCTAGGACTGTACATCGTTTGAGATGGATTTACAACTGAACCTGTACGAAAAACAGCTCAGAGTTAAAAAAAAATGTGAAATGATCAATAGCATCAATAAGGCAATACATCACAGCTGCTAATCACTTAGTCAAAGTCACACAGACTTTTATACCATCTACTTCATCTGCCTTCAAATAAATCACTCCAGAAGTACTTTGTGTAAATATTCCACCAGATTTCCCTTCTTACTCCTAACTTTCAAATTCAAAATTAGTATCCTAATGCCGTATTGGATTCAGTTACAGCAACATTACAAAGACTTTGGAATATTAGGGGGAATTTCGGGGCACTGACAAGAGTGGTCTCCTTTTGTGCTGAAAATTTCTCCGATTCTGACTTAATAAAGAGGTAAAATGAAAATCTGTTTCAAATAGCCACCAACTTTCTTTTGTAATTAATTGCACAACAATTTACACAAGAGATACCGTAAAGACAGAATATTTCAACAGTTAACCTGGATCACACAACACAATTTAAAAATAAAATTGTTGAAATGGTGGTGTTAAAATGTGACATTGCTTGCAAAATTAGCAAGAAAACCATGCAAAGCCCATTTCCAGTAACATTAAGAAGCACCTAATAGCAGCCTAGCAATGATTCCTCCCTGAATTTTCAATTCCTGGTCATCAAAGGGCAAAACTATGGGCAAGTTTCCTTACTTCACATGCCTGATAATAATCCCTCAACAAAAAAATAATTTGGTCACTTCAATCCATAACCGTTTGTGGGACACCGCTGTGTGCAATTGGCTGCCGCGTTTTGCCCACAAAATATACAGACAATTCACTTTACAGCATATTCTGTGAAGCGCTTTGAGACATCTAGAAGACATGAAAAGCGCTATATAAATGCAAGGATTATTATTATTATCATCAAAAGTGGTGAATTTAGTAGGAGCAGAATTTATTTCGCATTGCTATTTTCAGTTTTAAATTTAAACTAAAATGCTCAGAGGAAAGTGATGGGAACATACCCATGTCATATGACCCAAATAAAAATAATCCGATACCACATTGGTGCCATTGCATTGTTCTGGAAGCCACACAACAGTATAAGTAGCAGGTTCATATTTTTTCAAATCCAACTCACCTTGAAAGGAATGCCCCCCCGGCGGGAATTCATTAGCTTTCATATCGGCAAAATAAAGTTTAGGTCTCTCGTGGTACTTGACTCTATACGTGTCAGTCATGCAACTATCCACAGAAAAATAAGTAGTTGGGGCAACATCATTAGGTAGTCCCGGTGTGCAGGCACTAAATAGCCTTGATGAAGCAGCATCAGTTTCAAGCTTTAGATAATTGTCAGACGCAGCTTTCGTTTGTCTATCATGTGAAAACACGGGATCAAAATTGTCATCACGCCTTTGACCTAATATTTTTTTAGCATTTGCCATTTCTTCCCTTGGCTCAGGTAGTGGTCTTGTATTTAATAAGTTATTCTTCAAATTGGTTTGGCCTCTCCGAGCATACATCTTTGGAGGCAGAGGTGGTGGCGATGATCTTACTTCATGAACAGGTTCCTGGAAGTTCTCTCGGTTTTCATAAACGTGGTGTGACTGTGCTCCTCCAGAGGGAGGGTGTTGTCTAATTTGGGGATTTTCAGGTGAATGATAACCTGGATTCAAATGGGCTGAAGATCCCTGCTGTGATTCTAGTGCATCGATTTCCATATCCTGATAATGGGGAGGAAACAAAGGAACTGCAGAACTTGATTTTGCTTGAACGCTGGAAGTTTGTTGATAAGGACCAAGTGAAAGTTTTTCAACATCTCCAATTGAAGTTTTATGAGGTTCTGGTGGCACAAATCTATCCCTAATGCTGGTATCTGCAGAGGAGCTTAGAATAGCTGGGTCTGTATAAGTTTGCTTTAGCTGATGTTGCGGTGAGCTTTCATCATCCTTGTATTGCCTATTCTGTACCCTCATCCCTGCCGAGTCATAAACCACACGCTTGGGTTGAGGGGAAAGTGCACCTTTTCCAATTTTTTCCAATGGTTGACTTTTATCAAACTTCTCTGCACCAATCTGTGATCTAAAAACAAGCATTAAAATAAGATTGATTTTACACAGCTTGTTCTAATTTAGTAGCTGTTCATATTCTGATCAATTAAGTATTACACTTCCACAATATTCTTCAATCGGTCTTCAGTCGGGGAGCGGCGGCAGGAGAGCGCGGGGAGGAGCCTGGGCCTACTGACCCAGGTACTTAAACTCGACGCCGGAGCGAGTGCAGCCAGTCGGGGAGCGGCAGCAGGAGAGCGCGGGGAGGAGCCTGGGCCTACTGACCCAGGTACTTAAACTCGACGCCGGAGCGAGTGCAGCTAGGCAGTGGAGGGAGGTGTGGGGGCGGAGCGGGGAACTGCGACGTCATAGATTAGTTTTCAGGTGAGTGCGCGCGCACAAAAAAAAAAAAAAAAAAAAAAACCCTCTGCGCCCCCCCCCCCCCCCCAGGGCTCACATCAGAGCCCACTATGGTCCTGTTGGGTTCGATGCCCCAATCTGCGGGATAATGCCATCCACCTGACCGCTCGCTCCCGGTCCCTATGGCTGCCGCTTTGACCCGAGCCCCCTCACCCCCTCCCTCCCACCCCCCTCCTCTCTCCCCCCAAACCCTCCCCCCTCTCCATCTCTCCCGCTCTCTCCTCCTCTCTCTCCGTCCCTCTCGTCTTCTATCCCCACTTGACCCTCCCACAACCTCCCTCTGTTCCAGTCTGGGAATCCTCCGCCGGGCTCACCGCGGCACTCGGCGTTGGCTGTCCAGCAGCAGCCACACCGACTGCCCCATTCCCCACCACTCTCGCCAGCCACCCCGGACACAGACCCGGGGAGTCAACCTCTCCTCCCTCATCCCCATCTCCCCCACCCCTGCCTCACAACCTGGACCCCCCTCCCCTCCCACACACCCTTCTGTCAACCGCTCCCTCCACATCGGACTGCAAAATGTCCGCTCCCTCTGCAACAAGGCCCTGGTCATCAACGATCTCATCCTTGATGAGAACGTTGATATCATGGCCTTGACAGAAACGTGGCTCACCCCAGGCGACACCTTCCCCCTCACGGAGGCCACGCCACCCGGCTACACCTCCCACCACATCCCCCGCCCCAACCGCCGTGGCGGTGGTGTTGCCCTTATCTCAAGGACACCACTTGCCCTATCCCCCTACTCCTCTGGCTCTTTCCCCTCCTTCGAGCACCTCACCCTCTCCCACCCCTCATTCCTCTCCCTTAAAATCCTCCTCCTCTACCGGCCCCCTAAAACCTCTCCCACCTTCATCTCTGACATTTCAACACTCCTCACATCTCTTTGCCTCTCCTCTGATCGCCTCATCATCCTGGGCGACTTTAACCTACACTTCACCCCCTCCTGCTCCATCTCCACAGACTTCTCTTCCCTGCTCTCCTCACTCAACCTCTCCCTACACATAAACTCCCCCACTCACAGTCACGGCCACCCACTCGATTTGGTGATCACCCGGGGCCTCAGTGTCTCGGATGTCACTATTACCGACAAGGCCATCTCCGACCACTACTTCATCTCCTTCACCACCTCCACCCCCCTCCCCACCTCCACCAGACCCACCACCATCTTCTACCGCCCTTGGAAGAAGTTACCCCCACAATCCCTAACCGATGCCTTGGAGTCCTCTGAACTCCTCTCCCTCTGGCCTTCAACCCTCACCGACCCCTCTTCTCCTCTCTCCCTCCTCCACAATATCCTCTCCTCCACACTCGATACTCTTGCCCCCATCACTTCCCGCACTGTCTCCTACTCCCGCTCCTCCCCCTGGTACACCACCCACCTCCGCTCACTGAAATGCCAGGTGCGGGCTGCTGAGCGCACCTTTGTCAAATCCGGCTTAACGGTCCACCGACAAATCTGGCTGGACCTCCTCAAAATTTACCGCTCCACTCTAGCCTCGGCCAAGTCGTCCTTCTACTCCAGGATAATCCTGGAGGCGAAGAACAACCCCAGGCTACTGTTTTCCACCACATCCCGACTCCTCCGTCCCCCCGCCACCCCGCGCAGGTCATCTCCTCCAACCTTCACTGCGAGGAGATGCTGGATTTCCTTGAATCCAAGATCAAGGGAATCCGCTCCGCGGTCACTTCCCCTCCAACTTCCACCCACCACCCACCCCTTCCCTCCCACACTCCGACTCCTACCCATCCTCCCCTACACACCTTCGTACCCGTTTCCCCACCCTCTGTCACTGAACTCATCCTATCCCTAAAACCAACCACCTGCTCCCTTGACCCCATCCCCACTCCACTCCTTATCTCCCAGCTCCATTTTCTTGCCCCACACATCACTGACATCATAAACCTGTCCCTCTCCTCTGGCTCTGTCCCCATTCCATTAAAAACTGCCATCATCACGCCCACCCTGAAAAAACCCTCCCTTGATGCGTCGCAGCTATCAAGCTACCGGCCCATCTCCAACCTCCCCTTTCTCTCCAAGGTCTTGGAAAGAGTTGTCGCCTCCCAACTGCGCTCTTTCCTCTCCACCCATTCTCTTTTTGAACCCCTTCAGTCAGGTTTCCGTGCTGCTCATAGCACAGAAACTGCCCTGGTCAAGGTCACCAATGATATCCTGACTATCTGTGACCAGGGCTCCCTCTGTCTCCTCGTCCTCCTCGACCTATCGGCAGCATTCGATACGGTCGACCACGCTATCCTACTCCACCGCTTGTCCTCCCACCTCAACCTTCAAGGCACTGTCCTTGAATGGTTTAGCTCTTACCTTTCCCACCGTCTTCACTTCGTCTCAACGAATGGCTTCTCCTCCACCCCCCGTACTGTCTCATGTGGTGTCCCTCAGGGCTCTGTCCTCGGTCCCCTCCTCTTCACCCTCTATATGCTCCCCCTCGGTGACATCATCCGCAAACATGGGGTTAACTTCCACATGTATGCGGATGACACCCAACTCTACCTTTCCTCCTCTACTCTCAACTCCACGACCACCGATGTCCTGACAGCCTGCCTGTCCGACATCGAGTCCTGGACGAGAGACAACTTTCTTCAGCTCAACGTGCGAAAAACCGAGGCCCTCCTGATTGGCTCACGTCAGCGCCTCCGCACCTCAGGCGCTGACACCATCAGCATCCAAGGCTGCACTCTCCACCTCTCAAAGCCAGTCAGGAACCTCGGCGTTTTGTTCGACCCTGAGCTGTCCTTTCTCCCTCACATCCGCACCACAACTGGCACCGCCTTCCATCACCTCCGGAACATCGCCATACTACGGCACTACCTCACCCCTCACGCTGCTGAAACCCTGGTTCACGCCTTTGTCACCTCAAGGCTGGACTATGGGAACTCTCTCCTCGCCGGCCTTCCCGCCACCTCCCTCCACAAGCTGCAGGTCATTCAGAACTCTGCAGCTCGTGTACTGTCCCGCACCAGGCTTCGGGACCACATCACTCCCACCCTCGCTCGCCTCCACTGGCTCCCCATCCCCCAGAGGATTGATTTCAAGATCCTCATCCTCACCTACAAGGCCATTCACGGCCTTGCTCCCTCCTACCTCTCCAACCTACTATCCCCCTACCTACCTGCCCGTACCCTCCGTTCCTCTGGCTCCGGTCTGCTCCACGTCCCCCGCCCCAACCGCCCTACTATCGGTGGTCGGGCCTTCAGCCTCTCAGCCCCGAGGCTCTGGAACTCCATCCCCCAGTGCCTTCGCCTTGCTTCCTCCCTTTCCTCCTTCAAGGCCGGTCTCAAAACCTTTCTCTTTGACCGTGCCTTCAGCTCCCCTCTCGACTCTCTTCCTCCTCCTCGCTCCCTCCCTTCCCTCCCCTCACCCTGACCATTTCCCCCCTCCTCTCTCCCTCCCTTCCCTCCCCTCACCCTGACCATTTCCCCCCTGCTCGGGTCATGACCCAACTGTGCAGCGCCTTGGGACGTCCTCCTGACGTGAAAGGCGCTCTATAAATGGAATCTTGTTGTTGTTGTTGTTGAATTGGATAAAAATTTCCGCTCATAGGATTTTTGACACTATTTTGTGAAGTAAAAAAGATGTGCAAAGCCAGTAGTTTAACGATAATCTATTAGTAAAATGCAGTTACTGTAACTAGTTTATCGCACCAATCATTTAAAGCTGCATCAATCTGGAGATAATGTGATATCTTGGAATAAAAGTATTTTTTGCACCATGTAGTTCTAATAATTTGTTAAAGGAAAATTGAAAAGTAATCTCAGTTTAGAGATCAAAATAAACAAGATTTCTGGTAGAAAACAGGTCCCTTTATTAAAAGAACCTGAACCTTAAATCTCATTATTACTCAGTAAACTATTCAACTTTCAACTCAACCATTCAACACATCTAGAATCCTAATTAGCGTGGATCATCAGCTCTCCACTGTACTGGGTTTTAATTAAAGCTAATTTACACACCAATTGAAAAACAAATTCTTGCTAGTAACAATTTTTAAGAGCACAATTTTATTCAAGCTTTTTTCTTGCTCCTATAAAGGATTTACCCTCACCATAGGCATTACCTCTGAAAGTTAGGTCTCTGAACACTCTGGTCCCACGACTTAGAATTTTCCAAACCACTCTTGACTTGCCATGCACCTAATGAAAAATAAACAGAAAATATTCTGTTAGTTTGAATAACTGCAACTCTAAAATGCTTTAATCTTCTATTGAAGTGATGAATCATTTCATGTAGAGATTTGAATCTGACATGCCTATAGATCATTTGTTGAAGTACCAGAGGAGGTGAAATAACATCTCAGTATCTTTCTAAAATGCTTATTGAAAGCAACAATTTAATCTTGTGAGTCAGATATAATTGCCCCATTGGTGTTAGTTGTCATTTCAAATTTGTAAGTGGATGATTACCTTGTATTCAATCTCTAACATGAATTATTCTGTGCATAATCAAAGCAGGATATACTGCCTCCTTTGGTCTCATGTACCTCTGTGCTGTAGATGAGAACACATTTAGCAACATATGTTGCACAAAGCCACTGGTATGAAAATTCATTGAATGATGAGTACCCAATGTCATATTCAAAAATAGATTTAATAGCTGCTTAAATGGCATGACTGGTGAGAAATAATATGACTGATCACACTGCAATGTTCTGAAACAAAATGTCCTTTGAGATCCAGAGTAGAAGAGAACAGTAATGACATGATTTTCTTCCTGCACTGTAGTTTGCTTCATTAATAAAGTTGAAAACTGAATTGTAATAGCAACAACAACAAATTACATTTATATAGCACCTTTCACGTCAGCATCCAATGGATGGAATGTTCCTCTACTTTTTCATGGATAGCACAGCTTACTGATGCAGTTATGTGCATTCATCTGATAAACCATTCTCATATGTGCTTGTGTTAAATTTTAAATGTTGAGCACTTTAGATAGCTTATTGCTGAAGTTGGTGTAGGATGTTAATCTAGTCAGGTTCCCAGTAAATAGCATCTCCTTATTTTCAGCAATCTTTATTTTCAATTGCCGAAACAGGTGTTGTTACAATTCCTTAACACTATCAGCAGTGAATTACATTTTTAATACAAAAGTGGCCGCCATCTACTTCAGCACTCAAGAAAAAACAAATAGCATTTGTCCTGTACTTGTATGGGTTCCTATAGTCCCCAGATGCATTCATCATTTCAGGAATTAAAATGTGAAATATAAATTATTTTTATAAAGATAATTTTTCATCATCAGTACTTAATATAGCAAACTTGTAAAATTTGCATTTGTGTGCAATTTCTGGCTGTCAAATCTGTTGTGATGGCCAGAAATGGTGGTTGGCTCGGGTTTGATGAGGCATCAGTAATGAGTCAGATTTTTGAGGTGCACTTGCACTCCAAGCAGAACATTTCCTCTAGTTCCACAATACACACACACTTGCGTAAAATGTAATTTATGTAAGTGTGTGTGTATCTTTGGCAATATGTAAATGGGTGCAATAATAATAGCATTTGATATAGTGCTTTTCATGTCTTCTAGACATCTCAAAGCGTGTCACGGAATATACTGTAAACAACAACAACAAAGTAAACACTAGTAAACAACAACAGTAAAGTGAATTGACTGAATATCTGTGGGCAAAACACAGCAGTCAATTGTGCACAGAGCGTCCCACAAACAGTTGTGGATTGAGTGACCAAATTATTATTGTTTTTTTCTTGAGGGATTATTACACGCAGAGAAGCGATCTGCCAATTGCTTTTTCAGGGGTTCATATAGACCATCATCATAACAACATCTTAGTAACAACTCCAACTGGAAATTCTCACTTTCTGATCAATAGAGCTGGAAAAGTATTGTTCCAGTGTTCCTCCAGCCAGCTATTAGGTTTAGTGCCCAGACTATGCTACCCTTCTAGGTTGAGGAGGAAACCATGATGAAATAAGTGTGCTAAAAGTCATAACAAAATGGAGGAAGTACAAAACAGAATTAAGCTGGTATATTTTTTCTATGCAATAAGTATATCTACACTTCCCCAAAAAAGGGAGTTTGTGGTATACTGTTGTGTCAATTTGCCAGTAATGTACCACAAACAGCCAAGATGTGAAAACCTAATTTTATCTGGAGGATTGTTGGGCAGGACACCAAGAGAATTTTTTTCAAATAGGATCATAGAATCTCAACTTCTACCTGAACATTCAAACAGGGCTTCTCTAACATTTTATCCAAAGACAATGCAGCACACCTTCAGCACTTGCCAAGACTACAACGTCAAAGTCCTGATGTGGGGCTTGAACCCACAACCTTTTGACCCAGAGGTGAGAATGCTAACAAGTGAGTCAAACTGACAACAACAACAAAATTACATTTATAGAGCACCTTTCACATCAGGAGGACATCCCAAAGCACTGAACAGTCAGGTGTCGGGGCTCAAGCATGGGGGAGGGGTGGTGTAGGGGTGAGGGAAGGCAGAGTGGTGGGAGGGAGACCAAAGACAAAGACACTCAAGAAGGGTCTTGAGACCGGCCTTGAAGGAGGCAAGGGAGGAAGCGAGGCGAAGGGACCATGGGATGGAGTTCCAGAGAGTGGGGGCAGAGAGGCTGAAAGCCCGGCCACCGATGGTAGTGCGGGTCAGGCGGGAGACATGGAGCAGACCAGAGCCCATTGAACGGAGGGAGTGGGCAGGTTGGTAGGGAGTCAGCAGGTCAGAGAGGTAGGAGGGGGCAAGGCCATGGATGGCCTTGAAAGTGAGGATGAGGATCTTGAACTCGATCCTTTGGGGGATGGGGAGCCAGTGGAGTCGGGCGAGGGTGGGAGTGATGGGGTCTCGGAGCCTGGTGCATGAGAGTACACGAGCTGCAGAGTTTTGGATGATCTGCAGCTTGTGAAGAGAAGAGTAATTAATGACATAATTAAACACCAAAAACACACAATTTTCTTTATTCAAATAATATTTAGGACACCAATTCTATTCAATCACTAGTTGAAAAGTTAACAAAGTTATGGTCACTGAACATTCACAAGTTCATGGCTTATGGCTTACTAGACATAATTATGGTACTTTGTCACGTAACATCTACCATTTGCTATCAGTAGTAGTGGTTTTACTTTTTGTCCCAGCAAAGTTCAATACAATTGAAAGAATGGTAACTACCATGGGGAAAGTAAGATTTATTTTCAATCTAAATAATTTATTTCCCTCCAAAAATTCCATTTAAAAAGAAAGAATAGTAGATGGTAACTTCTTTCAGACATGCAAGTGGAAAAGCTGCTTTAAAAAGAGCCAGCTGGCGCATGGGAATCAAGAAGGCCAGAGGCACCGGATAATGAATGGGGTCCACACTGCAACTGCATTACAACCAGCCTGCTCTATAAAGAAGGATGTAATAATGTGGCTGTATTATATATTCATCAACAGCCATTTAGTTTTGCTGAAACCATATTTTGAATAACATTCATTAATCTTTTGGTTCTAAAATTGACATCTGGTTTATTTGGTCAAACAAGAAAATAAAGTTTAGTAATTAATCTGCATTTAATTTATTTCCTCCACCAATTTTCTCCTTCTGGTGTTGAGATTTCCTTTTCCATTCATGGCTGAATGAAGTTGCTCCCTGGTGTCCATTATTCAGGTGTGAAGTTGATTATGAATGTCAATAAGCTATTCAATGGGGGTGTCTCAACCTGGCCTTTTTAAGATGTCCACATCCAGCAATTGCTGGAAAGGAATCAGGGGAGGGAACTCCAGAATAATATTTCTCTCCCTAACCAGGGATTCTTATTGCCAACCAGGCTGAGATCAACTAACTCAGCAAAATCCAGAACCAAACATGAGACATTGCCAGCGAAGCCTGTATAGCTCAGTTACCTCACTATCCAAACACGCCAACCCATCAATAAGTCTAATGATTTTAAATGGCTGGTTTACAATTTTGGTAACTAAGCATCTAAAGTTACTCGAAATGAATTATGAAGGTTGAAAATGTATTGGTGGTTTCCAAATGTTGCTAACGCTACATAATCAAATTAATAGTTATCTAACTTCCACTTGGTCATGCAGGAATTCTCAATACAGTAAAACATGAACCCTTTTATAAAGCACTGATTGGGAGGTCAGGGGCATGTCCTTAAAAACCCACTGGTCAGCTCTTCCACGTAGTGACATCACAAATTACACATCCAAAATGCCAGCCAGTTTCCCATGCTCCCAAATGGCTGTCTTCCAGGTCATTAGATCACTATTACTTTTTTCATATTGCGTACGGCCTTGTCATACACAATTAACTTGTTCGCATGGGTAGGTTACATTCTGGGTGGTCTGCCCCTGCACATTATCAACACATAAGTGATATTGTTAGCAGCTATGATTGACGTGGAAGTGGGCTATTCTTTAGTGCTTGGGAGCTGGTCGCTGAGCCACTTAACTAGCTACTTACTAGCTTTACCACTACACTGACAGTAACAGCACAGCATGTTGATCTTGACCAAATTGCCAGCTTGTGTTCTTGGACGGAGCTAATTATACTTCACTCCTTGTGGAATGAAAATACTCTTCTCATGACGCCATATCAGATTTCATGTCTGAACAGTGTACATGGCAACACAAAAAAAACAGTTTAAGTGCCTAACGCTATACAACAGAAAGCCTACTTGCAGGTCTTGACAAAGCAAAGTTAAGTGCAACTTTTTATTCTTGTGAAATTTTCACTTCAAGCACCTTTAATTCTGAGAATTTTTTTAAAAAAAGTGTAAAGTTCCACTACTTGGTGTACAGCCATATTCACAACAGTTCCATACTTAAAAATTAACTTCCCAAGGCACCAATATTTTACACTTACACATTCTAAGAAAAATACAGTGAACGCAAACACAGATTAGCTAAACATTATGGTTCCAGTCATAAGTAAGCTATTTTAATTTAAAATAGGTCCTAACCGACAATAAATAATTTATATGGTCTTAGCGCAATGCATTAAGACTGGTCCTTGAGTAAATATGATTTATAAAAACTATTGTCACATTGAAATATATATTCAATTACAAAGCAGTAGCATAAAGTTAACATTTGGAGGCAGCAGAGCCTTACAAAAAAATCTCATCAGGCTGTCAAGCTGCAAGCAGTCTCAAGGACTGCACATAGAATTAATTCCACCTTCTTTATAAATAGCAGAAGAGAGAAATAACTGACAACAGAACCATGCATGGCTAAAAGCAGCAAGTGATTTTTACAGTAACGATTGGCCTGGTGCTCAGATAACCCCCCAAAAAAGACAGATGTCAGGAAGGAATATGACAGGAGCTTGTTGAATAGTATGTACAACGTACAGTTTACAAGTGGGTGTTAATCTGCTTTGTGCCATGAAGAAAGATAATTGGGTTTCCACTGACATGGACATGTTGCAATTAACTGGTCGAGTGTGAAACTGTTGACCCAAGATATTTTTAAATAAAAGTTTCCTTTAAAGAAAATGACATCAAAGGACCTGGCTGAGAAGATTTGTTTGTCAGTACATCAAAATAAATTGGGTAAGTAAGAAAAATAAATCAGATTGTTTCTGGGTTACGATTCATTTGGATATCGGATTTCAGGAAGTATTAGAAAAACATGTCTGGGTATCTGTTTAAAAATTATCATGATCCAGAATATCAACTTTGAAGTTGTTATGGAATTCCAATTACTAATACAAATCACAATTCATTAAACTTCCTCTTCAACTGTGCATACATGCAAATGCTTGTATACATAGTGGAAGAAAGAGGAAGTTTGTCTTGAATACAGTTACAGGACTAACCAAAAGCTTCTTCCACCAGGAAGCATTACTGTACCACACAATGTCAGCTTTTCTCTTTCTTCCTCAAAACACACACTATTAGTGAACATCTCAGGCTCACTAATTTCCAATTGAAGAAATAGGGTTTTACACTACCAACAATTAGGTTTGAGCAACAACTCTGGTAGAACCCCTTTATTGATTGAGGGGTATATAAAATCCCAATCTGCCTTATAATCAGGGCCATGATCACTAGTCAGTGACGTTATATTCACTGCAATGCACATAGCTCCCCTGCTTAAAAATGGGTGACTCTGGGTAATCAGGTCACTGCCAAATTACTTGTGGTAGAAAGTTAGGCCTCCAGTTTGGGGGATTTTCAGGAGTAAGCCAGGGTTCACTATAAGCGATACTTTCTGCTTCAATACATTTCTGGAAGGGAGTTGTACCTTCTCGCTAACTTCTGTGTAAATATCCCCCTAACACTGCTTTAGACCTGCTAATTGGGTATCTTATATTGCTGCTCCCTTGTTACGGATTCATTAACAAGTGGAAAACCTATTTATGTATTCTTATGAATCCCTATCATAATTTTAAACACTGCTGTATTAGTAGATTCTACTATATTATCTTTGCAACTTACAAGTGGTCTTCAACTGCTTTACACATACAAGTGTGGTTAAAAATATCATTAGTCTTGTAAAACAGATGTAAATTAAGGTAACTAAAAGATTCACTACACATTCTGGAAACGGTTTCTTTGTCATAGTACACATTTCAAATCATTCCTTTCAATATGTTTGCCAATTACTCATCTCGCCCCACTCCCCAGTAGGGAAATAGAAATTTATCAAATATAAGGCACTCCATTCTAATACTTCCGGTATAGCCTTGTGACCCGTGGACTGGAGCTAACCTGACTTCTGATTCTGATTAGCTGGCTTTCCATGCTATAAAAAAAACTGCCCAAGATCTCGGTCCTGAGGTTTCTTCTGACATCACGTCCTGCTTGCTACTGTGCACAAGTGTAAAATCAGTGGTGACCCAACAGTCATTTTTTTTCCACATTTTGCTTCTAATACCATAATAATCAGGTCCTTTTGTACTTCAAACAACAAGAGAGTAAAATAAAGCACAAATTTTACCATCATCACGTGAAACTTTATAACCTTGCATCTGAATGGAATGTGCATCAACTTTATGTGGCGCTTGCTGATCCCTGGAATACAATAATATTGGAAGTTATAAACTCAGCATTATCCTTTTTAAAAAAAGCTATATATTTCTATATTAAACTGAAATTGCCTTCCCAAATAGATTTTAATAATAATAATCCTCGCATTTGATATAGCGTTTTTCATGTCTCCTAGATGTCTCAAAGCGCTTCCACAGAATATACTGTGAAGTGAATTGACTGTATATTTGTGGGTGAAACGCGGCAGCCAATTGCGCACAGCAGTGTCCCACAATCAGTCGTGGATTGAGTGACCAAATTATTGTGTTTTTTGAGGGATTATTATCCCAGAAAAGCAATCTGCCAATCAACTAACAATCCAGTTCCTACTTACTGGTAGGTAAACAGAGGCGTGTGGAGTAAGGAAACTTGCCCAACATTTCACCCTGACAGGAATAGAACCCAGGTCTCTCGCCTGCGAGGTGAGTGCTCTAACCACTGAGCTACAGGACTCCACAATCAGATATATAGAAGAATTAGAGGGGATCTTATAGAAACCTGTAAGATCATCAAAGGGCATGATAGAGTAGATAGTGGGAGATTGTTTCCCCTGGTTGGAGAAACTAAAACCAGGGGTCACAACCTTAAAATCAGAGGCAGCCCTTTCGCACTGAGTTGAAGAAGAACTTCTTCACTCAAAGGGTGGTGAATGTATGGAACTCTCTACCCCAAAGAGCTGTTGATGCTCAGTCCTTGAACATATTCAAGACTGAAATAGATAAAATGTCTTATTGCAAAAGGGATTATGGGATATGGGAATAAGGCAGGGTTAGGTTATTAGCTGGAGTTAGATTAGAAGATCAGCCATGATTGAATGGCAGGGCAGGCCCACTCAGACATTGACTCTTCAAGGTTGGTAAACTACCATTCATAGAAATAATTCTGGCAAATTTGTAGACAGAACCTGGATCCTGCAAACCAAGTTCGAAGGCAAGATCAGCACTTTCTTTACTACCAAAGTATTTAGTATTTGTGTACATTTCTTTGAACATTTCAAAACATAATTGATGTATACTTTGAAAAGGATGGGTCAAAATCTCTTCCTAATTAGTTACATTTATCGTACTCACTTTATCAACCTCAGAAAGGTGATGGGTTACACAGATCTACCAAGATTCAAAAACAAAATGATCTGACCTAGACCCAACTGAGTTAGCTGACTTCAGGAACAGCGTAAAGGAAGCTTTACTGTACAAATATTTGTTCCATGTTAACATTTGGTAATGAGTACTATAGCTGCAAATATCGAGGGATAGACAGTGTGTGCATGCATAAGTATTAATTGGGTCTAATTTTGGTGAGTATTTTATCTGAAATAGAACTTAATAAACTACTATTCCTATTATTATAATCACATAATTTGATGAACCCCAAAAAATAAATTTGAAGTGTAAAAATTTTTCAACTGGTACTTCAACAGCTAAGAAAACAGTCAAGATATTTATACAAAGTGTATTAAGATACTTGTACTTCATTAAGAATCCAGGATTATTTTATTTACAGAATTTTTTTTTAAAAGGGAGATTATTATAATTACATTGGAAGGTGATAATTTCTAATGGATACCATTGAAATACAAGTCATGCAGGCTAAAGATGTGAAATTAACCCAAACATTTACAAACGATAGCTAAGGCAGCTTGTTTAAGGGACAGAACTGCACGCCTTAAGTCAAAGAATTGGTTTGAAATCAATTTACCACTTATCATTTTTCCAAGTTTGACACAAGGCCATTTTTATAAAGATAATTACCTTTCAGAAAAAGATTCTGGAACAAATCTCACATCTTTTGCATTGGAAACTTCCACGCCTGGAGAGTCAAGACCAGTGGAGCCATTACTGAGTCGATCACTGCTCTCATACCCAGACTCAGTCCTCTGTACCTGCCAGGCTTCACCATGACATTTCAAGTTGGCATTGACACTGGCCTTTTCTTTTTCTACATTTGTTTTCCCATCAAATTCCATTGACGAACTTCGGCTTCCACTTTCAAGTCTGAATTCATCTTCATATATGGTCATTAAGCCTCTATGCTTTCGGTGCTCACTCAACACATCTTTGGAGATGAGCTCTTTGCTGTGTAGCTGCTTGTCAGCAGAGTTTGTCTTATGTTTTGGACTGCCTTGCCTTCGTTCACTCTCAAAAATACTGTCCACATTTAGAATCTCTCGGGAGGGTTTCCAACCTTTTGCCTTACTCCTGCTCTTGCCACTGCTTTTCTCCCTCGACTCCTGACTGGTGTCAGTGTCATAGCCACTGTTCTTATTTTTGTGCTGCACACAATCAGATGCGTAAGTGATTTTCTCTGTTGTTCCCCTGCCTTGTGAATTAGTTTTGCTTTGGCTTGAAGATCCTTTTCCTTGACTATTGTACACATGCTGATCCCAGAATTGCCTCAGACCGCTGCTGGAAGGTGGAGTCCCAGACTTTGAAGGAGATCGGTCCTCTGAGGGAAAACAAACATGATCATAGTATGAACGATGGTAGTTTTAATCTAATAAATGTAAAAAGTGGTCAGTGAAGTCCTGCAGCTTAGTGGTTAGAGCACTCGCCTCACAAGCGAGAAGACCTGGGTTCAATTCTTGGCAGGGGAAATGTTAAGCAAGTTTCATTACTTCACACGTCTCTGTTCATCTAGCAGTAAGTAGGAATCCGGTTGTTAAGTCGATTGGCAGATCACATTTCTGGGGATAATAATCCCTTCCAAAAAATAACAAGTTTGGTCACTCAATTCATGACTGTTCGTGGGACACTGCTGTGCTGCATTTTGCACCCAAAATATAGTCAATTTACTATACAGTATATTCTGTGAAGAGCACAATAAGGCACTATATAAAAATGCAAGGATTAATGCATCAGACATACAACTTCAAGACACCACTTATAGCACAATGTTTTAAAAAAATAAATTATTGAGGTTAGTTTTGTTTCAAGTTCAACCTCTGCATATCAATAGGAATTCTCTCCATTCTGTGGGTAGGAAAGGGTAGTGGGATAAAGAAAAGATTAAATAAACATGTTTGATATTGATGGGTGTGGGAGGGGAATAGAATGGAAATAGAAAGCTTTGAGACTCCCTTTTGGATATTTTCCATTTAAGGTAAGTTTTCTATCAACTTTAATGAGTGTTCTGTGTGTGGAGGAAAAACAAATACCAGAAAAGAAAGACCATGAATTCGCTAGGAGTGAGATTTGCATGTTGAGATTAAACTTCAAAGAATGAGGAAGACATGTGAAAGTGAATCCTCATTTGTTCAACCATGTAAAATAGGTATATCATGAGAGTACATATCACGAGATAGTAGCAGCAGATTTATGGAGTAAAATTTTAGGCTACTTAGAAACACAGTGGCACTAAACTTCTTGGCATTTGCACAGAGAGCTTAAAAAAAAGTCTTGAAAAAGCATAGAAGACTGTTGCAACAGCATGCCAATGTATGTTAGCTCAAAGAGCAGCTTGCAATTCAGTAGTAACTTTCATCGGCAGTTTCTGCCCAGGCAGGTGGCCAAGCCAAGAGACGGGGTCTGCAACTCAATTTACTCAATAGTTTAACATTATCATTTCTTAAATTTGGTTTGCTAAATATACCATTTGGCGAAGTTCCTTCAGTAATCTAGATAACATGGTAAAACCCTAATCCCACTGAGCAGAATACACAATACAGCAGTAGAAAGTGCCCAAGGTTGTGGATTAACCTGAACTACAATTTTTTCCACAAGACCCATGTTATACAGAAACTATTTTAGGGAGCCACAAGGGTCATAAGGTACAGGAGATGGCTATAGCTTCATCCACCTGACAGATACATTATTCATTAACCATGAATGAAGTTTATTAACTTTGCATGTTGTTCAAGCAAGCATCTGTTTAAATAAAGATTCAGACAAGTGAATATGAAACTTGATTGTGCCATTGCTCAGTATAATAGAGCAAACTATTTGCAGTGAGACTTCCAGCAAAATAAGCACTATAAGGAGTAGAAGTATAATCAGGAGAAAAAAAAATTATACATGTATATTCACAATAGAATAAGTGAACAAAAACAAAGCTCACTGGGCACTTAAATGTAGGTAAAATACCAGAGAAATAATGTTACTTCTTATACTAATTTTAAGGTTTAAGAATACAACGATATTATGGCTCACAATTTATTGCTCAAGTGAAATTAAATTTGAAAAAGTACGAGAATACTAACCCCTCTGCCTGCTATAGTCATTCTTTCTCATTGGCTTGTCACTTTCTTTTTTCTGATGGTGCGGAGAGTTCCTTGCATTATTTGGCTTTTGAGCACGGTCTCTGGAACGGTCTCGTAAACGAAATGCTTTTTCATCTGGCAGCACTTTAACTGTAAACAATTCAACAACTGTAGAACACTAAAATGCTGATCAACACTTACAATACAAATCTATAATATCAAATCATCTCAAAGTGCTTCACAGATAATTGCTGTCAGGTGTAGCACTTCAAGTATACTTTATTTACAGGCAGATAGAGCAGCCAGTTTGCATGCAATGTTATCCCACAAACAGCCATGTAGTGAATGACTAATTTTATCTAGAGGATTGCTGGCCCATTTATCTGACCAATTTACCTCTAGGATTGTTGGGAAGGAGGCCACTGGGAGAAACATTCTCTTTGCCAATAGCCTCCTGGGATCGTTAATGCTCAACCTGAACAGGTTTAACAACTTATCCAAATGACAGCACTTAACTTGAAGATGAGCCTAGAATATGAGCTCAAAGTCCCCATGTGGGGCTTCAGAAATGCATCTTTCTGACCCAAATGTGAGTGTGCCATCAACTAAACCAAGCTGACAATTTGTTATAGATGTAATAAGTATAAAACATTGCTCGACTAAAAGATCAATAGTGAGGGATTGTTCTTCCAACATCAGTTAAATTTCAGTTACCAGTTACTTTGTATTAGTAGAATGCTTCAAGTCGGGCTTTTTTTTAATATAGTTGGAAGCAAATTCAATATGACTTTCATACAATTGAAAACAACTTTGGGTCCTGGTCAACAATTCCCCAACTAAACTTGGTCATTCACTTCATGGTGGTTTGTGGGACATTGCAGTGCGTACATTGCAGTGCCACATTAGCTCACAAAATACACATTCACTGCACTTAACAGCTCATCACAGTATATCATGTTAGCTCTTTAGGGTGTCCTTCCAATGTGAAAGTTGCTATACCAAATACAAGGATTTTTATTATTCACGCAACATTAACACACACAAGTTACTATAAAACAATGCACTCTTGACAACAGCTGGCACAGCTTCTCATTAGTTTTGAATAGTAAACCTTGCATTTGATATAGTGCCTTATCACGTTTTCCAGACATCTCAAAACGCTTCACAGAATATACTGTAAAGTGAATTGACTGTATATTTGCAGGCAAAATGGGTACCAAGGGGTACAAAACTACAGGCACCTACGATTGAGGATTCGTTCATAAGAAACTAAGAGTTAACAAGTTGGTTATGTTTGCCAAACCATTAAAGCATTTAATAATCCTTTTAACAAATCAAGTGTTACTGGCAAGGTTTTCTTTCTGCTGAATTTAAAAAAAAACAAGCCAAAGATTCTAATAAGCAACTAATTGCACATAGGAGACAGTTACTTACTTAGCCCTCGGCCTCTGCTGTCTTGAATAAAGCCCCTCTGAAAGCCTCTGGAATGGGATGGCTCTTTTAGCAGCATTCTTTCATTCCTGATCTGTGATGAGTATCCTCCAGTTCCATTTTCCCTAGGATGCTCTACCAATTTATCTGGAGAAACTGGCAGTTCTCTTTCTGTTAAACCAAATACACAAAATTTGTTAGTCACACATGACTCAAACTACTTCTCACTGATAGAGAAAAATTACATATTAAAGATAGTTTTCTTCCTTATCACAAGACATTGATATAGGTAATTTTTCAGACAGCTTCTAGAACAATTGAGAAGAAAATGGTAAAGTGGCAAACTGCTGTCACCAGTGCATTTTGAAGTTTCAAACTGGAACTCCTTGGTACTCCTCAGTACTCAAGTACTGTATCTGGCATAAAAAAATATTTTTAAAGTTAATATATAGTAATAAATAATAATCCTTGCATTTCATATAGCACTTTTCACGTCTTCTCGATGTCTCAAAGCGCTTCACAGAATAGACTGTAAAGTGAATTAACCATATATTTATGGGCAAAAATGTAATAATAGTAAAACTATTAGTATTAGTTGCCTGCAACTGGCAAAATAGTACGCAAAAGGATCAACACCAGTCTTCTAAAAAGATAAACAGATTATAGATCTTTGTTGTAAAACGAACAGAAAAATTGTTAATTGTGGATAATATGCAAGTAGAATAAAAAACGATTGTATTGATTCGTTGATACAATTGAAGATATGGAAAAATATGATTTATGGAGTTATTTCTGATACTGAGACTCACCTGAATCTTCACCAACCTGTGACATTTTATAATGAGCACACTGAACAGATTGAATGACCTGTGTGGGTGCATCCTCTGTAGAGACGGGCACACCACTGGGATTAGCATAGAACAGCAGCAATGGTTGGAAATGACCTCGAATGCACTTGGAAACCACATCTTTCCATTTTGATCCAACCTATCAGACAGACGAATAATCATTTTTAAACTCAACAGTTATGTAAGCATATAGATTAAAGGATATGAGCTAGTTACAGAATATAGGCTTTAGGTCAAATCAAGAGTGAATAAATGAAGTTTATAGTTGACAAAGACAACTGATTTTTTCTCAGTATTATCATGTTGTAATTTTTTTCCCTACTTGACATTTTTTATAATGTAGCAATAGATTACCATCCTATACTATTATTGTGACATCAGCACTTTCTTAAACTGTAATTAGAATAAAACATGAACAATCCCAAGGCTTTCTATGAGGCCAAAGATAAAGAAGATCTGGGATAAATAATTTTAAATATTTATCTATCTTTAGAACAAAATGAGAATTATAAAGATTCATTTTTAGCAGATGTGTCTTGAAACCTTAGGGTGAGTCTCCATAATTGCTGGGCCACTCTAATGACAATACCAACATGAAAGGAGTCATGTCACACAGTCCTGCACTTTCTCCATATACTATTAATAGTCTGACACTTCAGACTGGCATATAGACCATTGGATTTCTTTGCACCAGCAATTAACCTAGGAAAAAAAATGAAACAGCAACTTGCATTTATATCAAGTCCTTCACACGGGGTAGCGTTCTGGAGTGCGTAAGCACTGAAAGGATGCAAACTAAGAAACCATGGAAACTAAAGCATACTTTGAAATTTAAAATTTTCTGATACAACCATGGTATAGCACGAGTTAATTTTACAGCACTGGAAGTGCACTACATTTGCAGCACTGACTGGCTGGTTTCACATGTGTAGTGCACATGGAGGAAGAAACTTGTGACTTTATGGTTTTATGGACCCAAACAGTTGCATTATAATGGGAAATAAACTGTATGTACCTATATAAAAAAAGTTGGAACTCCACTGCTTTCTAAATGCAACTAGTTAAAAATACAGGAATGTGCAGCAATGATAAAAAAACGTTAGTCCAACTCGCCAGTCTCAGTTTTAGATACCATCTCTCCCCATCTCACGTACTTCGATCCCCAATCTCCTTCTCTGCCAAATGCCTTTCCAACTGCCTTTCCAATCCCCTCTTCAACAAACTATGTCAGATATTAAAACACTCCCAAGAATACAATCCCTAGAGTCGCAAGCCTACAGTAAACAATTCTTGTTCTCTCAAGAGAATTTCAAATGCAGAATTTTGTAATTAGATAAGTTATTCCAAAATGCATTACAAATTCTAATTAATGCTAAAATAATTCCCACATTAGATGCATTTTTCAACTATGTGCAAGGCACATATTTAAAACTTACCTCTTTAACAGTAGCATCATCAAAGAAAACCCATTTGGAGCTTTTAGTATGAAAGGCAAAAGTGCAATAGTGTTTATTGGAATAACACACCATTCCTACAAGGATCAATTCACTTCTCTTAGCCCGTTCATCAGTTGCCCTGTAGAAAAGCTTTAAATAAAGAGACATATTATTATATTCCAAAATTTAGATGACAATTTAATTGCTGAATTCAATACTGTCAAAGCTCAAAGCAGAGAAGGTTGCACTGCTTTTAATATAGAGCAACTGCCCTGATGATTTTTAGTGTCATATCAAAATATTTATTTAACTAAAACATGTTAAAAACAGCCAATACCAATCATTTTGGAACTAATGTATTACAAGGCCACTTGCTGAAAAGGCCAAGATTAAACAGAAACGGTCTGTATTCACTATTAAACATCTGAAATCCTGCACTTTTTGGGGGTCAGCCAGGTGCCTGACACACATGGAAATCTATCACTATGCTTAAAAGTATCTCAACCAGCCTGAGACCTCCACATGTGTACATCACCTACACAAAGAATCTTCCGTGTGTCTAAATGAAATGTACTTTATCCTTCGAAGGACACCCAGCTTACCTAATTCTTGAATGTATTAGGCATATGTACTGCTGGGGTTTAACAAGCTAAAACTGCATAATATGCCATTGAGAGCACCGTCTGGTAAACTAGGGCTTCTAATTTAAGGATTAACAGGAGCTGAGTGGGAAGAATCCTGCTCTGAACTTCTGCACTACGTTTTTTGGTCAGGCCGGTGTCTGACACATGCAGAAACCCATCACCATGCATCCACTAAATTAAGATAAAGGATACTATTTGGTTCATCTGCATTACAGTTCAGACACATGTCACAAAGAGTACATCACCTTTCCCCTATATCCCATCTAGAATGAAAACATATTCAGTTCACAAAAGTGAATTAAAACGACAGAAGTCCTCATTTTGCTTCGTATTTGTCAGAAATTAAGAGCAACTTCACTTTACTCACTCCAGGGAGGTAGAGCTGTGGCGCCAGATATCGAATCACATCCAACGTGAGATCTGAATGCTCCGAGTCCCACACCAGGCCAATAGTGACAATCTCTGGGCAATTCATCAGCACACGCCTGATTTTGATCTTTTGTCCACAGTTGCTCTGAAACAAAAGGATACAGTTTGCATATTCCACAATGCATTTGTATTTTGCCAGTACAACTGAAAAATATTTGCATCTATGTTTTTTTTGCTGTAAATGAAGTGGGGAGGAAATGTAATAACTTACGTGCATGAGACAATATAAGTTTGAGGACAAAAGGTTGGAAGAGAAACGATAACTGTAGGAAAACATGCAACAAGAACTTGTGCAATGAGATCTTACTTTGCCTACAGCATGCATTAGCTAAACAATATTTTGTGGTATGTTTCATAAACCGTACATATAAAAATGAGTGCACAGGCTCCACCAATGGTTCAGCACGATTATATTCACAAGTAGTTGTGCCATAAAGGTTAAGAAGATGCCTAGGTTCAATTCCTAGTTTAAGCTAAGTAACCAGTCTGAGCAGCAGGAGGGCAGTTTAAATTAGTCTGAGAACCATGGTTACAGAAGGTTCATCCAGTATTCCCCATTGTGAGAGGTATCCACTGATCCTTGCAAGGTGTCTTTTAATCATGATCTGGCTCAACCCCACCCCCAACTTCAAAAAAGTTGGTCAACACACATATGAATGTCAGAATGTTTCAGCAGAGGAATACATAATATACATGTGCAATGTTACACAATATGAAATCTGAAATGTTATGCTTGACAAACCTTATCAAATTCTTTCAAGATGTAACAGATAAAGTAGACAAGGGAAATGCAGTAGATGTAGTGTATTTGAATTTCCAGAAGGTCTTGACACATGACAAACAAGAGACTCACAACTAAAACCAGGGCATATGGAGTTGTAGGAGAATTAGCAGAATAAAGAATGGTTAGAAAACCAAAAGCAAATGTGTTAAGGGCATTTTTTCAGGTTGGCAACAGGTAGGAAGTGGTGTTTCACAGAGATCTGGATTGGGACCACAACTGTTTGCCACATATAAGTGACTTGGACTCAGATATAGGCATGTTAAAATTTGTAGATGACACAAAACTTGGGTGGGTGGTAGGGTGTAGCACTCTTATCTAAGAATTCAAAGGTTGTGGGTTCAAGCCCCACGTCAGGTGTTTGAACTCACTGTTTAGGCTGTTTCACCTACAAATATACAGTCAATTCACTTTACAGTCTATTCTGTGAAGCGCTTTGAGACGTCGAGAAGACGTGAAAAGCACTATATCAAATGCAAGGATTATTATTATTACACTAACATTCTGTTGAACTATTGGGGTTGTCCTACATTGTTGGAGGTGCCATACTTCGGATGAGACCTTAAACCAATGTCTTATATGCCTGGTTGGTGGATGTTAAGGATGATCCCATGACACTACTCTCAAAGAGAAGGGAGTTTCACCTGGATCTGGGCAAACAATCCCCCAGATAAAATTGGTCATGATTATTTGTGGGACATTGCTTGGCACAAATTGGCCGTAGTGTTCGCTTACAAATACAATCACTACACTATACTTTACTGTAAAATCTTGTGAAGTGCTTTGTGACTGACACATGATAAAGCATTATACCAAATGCAAGCATAATTAAGCCCCTTCAATCCATGTATTAATCTAGCAAACTAAAACCACAGCATGAAATGTGAGATTATTGCTACTATCCATCTTCCCACAACATGAAATGTGAGAGCATTATTACCATTAACTGTTCCCATAACTGTTCTGCCCATGCAATGCAAATCAGATCAATACCACAAAGGAAATTTACAATCAGCAATAACGATGCAAATTAAAAAAAAAACATCTACTATAGATATCCATATATTATATATCAGACACATATATATAATTAAAAAAAGCAACCAATTAAAGTAAAAATCAAATGAAGCAATTTCAAGACCGTATTCTAAGCTCAGCCTCAGATGACTTACCAACCAATCAAGTTTTGCACTTATGGTTTTGGGTATTATCTGAACCCTTCAATTAGATTACTCGCTTGTAAATCACTCAAGGTATCTATTTGAATTCAAAAGTGAGTGAAAAATTAATAAGTTTAAAATAATTTGCATTCACTCTTAAGTTTACACAGCTATAAATGTTGCAATAGTTAATTATTTATAGGACGATGACAACATCCACATTTTGTAGAATATTGATATCACTATGAAGTAGTCAAATTATTCATTTCTAGCCCCAAATAAAAATAAGAGTGGGGCTGCAGGCAAAATACCTTAGAAATCTTTTGCCAATCAACCATTAAACTAAGCAATTATTTAATACCAACTAATAGAAGCAACAATAGGATTTAGAAGTAAATGTGCCCCACTCAGCACTAAATTAAATTGATTAATGTGCAATATGAATAAAGTACTTGAGGCTAAAACATCCATAAGCCTTTTAATGCTGTCAATATGAAAGCCGATTTAGCATTTCAAAAATGTCAGTTCAGTAATTCAGTCAATTTAATTTACGCCATAAATAAAGAATTCCCTTAGAATAAAATTGTAAAGTACAGTGAAGTCATTATACACAATGTTTTGAATCCACAAAATCCCAATCCACGCGCGCTGCAAAGCAAGAAGCAACATTGGGAGGCAACCTAATGATCTTAAAGTTAGCTATTTTAATGCAAAAAGCCAGCAAGCATATGGCAAACAAGTAGGTTGGCTGGGCACTTGCACAATGAATGGTGTGCCCAATGCGACCAAATTTGTTCTATAGTGATCGTCTTGTATCAAGGTTCCACTGTACCGTGTATGCCAAAAAGACAAACAAGGATTCTGTAGCAAATTATTAGAAATAGTGTTGAGAGTAGAAGCTTGTTTTCAAAATTACTGGATCACCGATTAAAAAATTGATTCTGAATTTCTGTGTTTATTAATTGTGGGGAAAACTCACAAAAAATCTAAATTCGCATCCTGGCGACTTGAGGTGAAAGTCTGAAATCAGCAAATCCAATACTGCAGATTCAGTTTATGTCATTTCACCATTGAGAAATGAGTCACACAAAAGGATCCACCTCTGGTCCACTCTATGTGATAAATATTACTTGAAAATCAAATTTGACTATTATTTCTGTAAAAATAGATGCAAAACATCAGGATAATATGTCAGTGAACAAATGATCTTTAACTTCTTTTTTTTGCTATAAAAACAACTCAGTTTATTAATATGCAATTATATTATCAAGCAACTCAGAAGACATCATAGGGTATTTAACACAAGGCTTAAACTGAAATAACTGATCTTAACAAAGGGAAGATTCGTAGGTTCCACCATATCAATGTCACAAACAAGAGATTCTGCTGAAGAGAATGGTGTAGCAGCCTGGAGCAAGCGAGCTGAGTGTTTCATATTGGAACTATTTGAAAATAATCCTAGACAAGTTTGTACAACATAATACAATCAATCCACAACCCAAACTATGATGCAATTAAGACAAAAGTAAGTTTTTGAACAGACCGACTTGAAGGTCCTCAGCCACACATACAAATTGCTTCACACCCCAGCTTGTCCCCCACTCTCTCTGATCTCCTTGTATCCCACTGCCCACACCCTATATACTCACTTAATATGGAATACTCCACCCCTCTCTGTGCCAATACTGGTGGCCGAGCCATCAGTCATTGTGCTCCCAAACTGTCGAACTTTCTGCCTCTATTCATCTACCTCACCCCTTTTCTATCATCTTCAAATCCACCTTAAAACATATCTCTTCTACTGCACCTACGGTCACCTTCCCTCCTCCCCTTCATCTTAGCTCAGCATCCAGCCCGTCACTGTGTGTCACTTCCTATGTGAAGGCCGTTAGGTAAATATAAATTGTTCCCACAATTATTGACATCATCTATTGTTAGCTAATTTTTGGAAACAATTGCACTTTTAAGCACATCTGGCATGCATTTTACATGGTTCAATTCAGAAACAATATTTTACATGGGCAACGAAGAAAAAAACTGGGCTATATTTCCTATTAAACCTGAAGTTCTCTTACCGGACAATTCCTAAAATCACCAATTGTACTTGCTGCTTGAAGTAGTTCTGCAAACATTTCTGGTCTGGGACGTTCATTTCTTTCCACCATCCTCTCTACCTGATTACTATTTAATAAACAAAAAACGTATATTACTTTTTTTTTCAATTTCTTATTAAGTTCTGAAGAACTGATTGCCATAAACCAAAGCATTACTTACCACAGGGCTGTTATTGACACATAATGCACCAGCTCAGTGAAAGGTAAAGGATCTGAAGTGGCTCCACAGCTATAGCATACACTCTGCAGCAAAGCAAGATACAACAATTTAAGTTATTTATCAAAGTTACTCATTAAAAAAGGTTTATGTCTGCCAATTAAGAGGGCATCACTATTTTTCATAATGAAAGTCTATTAAGAATCAAGTATCAGAATGTCAGGCACCAAACAACTGACACCAACAATGAATGCAGCAGCATAACCTCAGGAACAATAATTTAAACCACTTTTCTTAAAAAACTGTTACCATATTGTTCCAATTACAAGTCAGTTAATTTTAAGGAAACCCTCCCCTAATTTTCATATTTATAAGAAAAAAAGCAAGAGTGCAATAAGGTCATTACAAAGTAGTCAAAAAACAACTTTCACACCAGGATCTGCTCAAGGGGAGCAATGGGTACCCAAATTGGAAGCAATTCTTTAGCTTTTTTCACTAAAATCCGATTATTATTATTAGAATGTGCAAATATGTGCCTAGAAGAGTTCTGAAATTAATGAAAACAAATTTGCGCATTTAATAACCATTTAGCATTGCTCTAAACTTTGATAAAGTTTAAAAAATTTAGCTCAACAACTTCATTCGCCAAAAAGGTCATCTACTCATGCAATGCTGAAAGTCATTGCCCACCAAGTACATCACAAAGTTAGCAATCCAATATCTGCTCTCATAAAATTAAGATGCCTATATGTTCTGAAGACTATTGTCAGTTAATTAATTCTAGGATGGTTATAATGAAGGAATTTCATATCTAACCTGCTCATAAAGGGTCATGGCAAACTTCTGGTGAGTAATGCAGGATTTGATTGTGCAGGTATCTACTTCATTGTCTGACACTATGTGCAAATGTATTCTCTCCAGAATATTCTCCTGAGGGAAAATAAAACAAGGCATTTGTATTAAGCGCTCTGCGATGCTACCCGTGCAAAGAGTAATATATAAATGCAAGTTGTTGTTGATATTCAGTGCTCTAATCATGCAAAAACTTAAGAGTCCTACAGTTCATGTAAGATAGTAATTGATTATCTTTACGTCCAAAGAAAACAAATTTGACAAAATAGAAATATAGTTCTACAATCTACATTTTTGCACACACACAGTAAACATTCACATATACTGCCTCCTGGATTCTCACTTACATATTCCCTTTAAAAATACAATTGTAAGCTCACAAGTGGAAATGGTGATTTTGATCTGCAACAAATTATTAGCGGAAGACACAGGACATCCTTCAAATTCTAATTATTTCTCCTATAATTATATTACAATAACTAATCTTAAGTATTCATCACACATCAAGGCAAACTTCACTGATACAAGTTCTGCAAAATGCAGAAAGACATCCACATCAAGTTCAACAAGCATGAAAATCACACGAGCAACATCTACATAAGAAAATATGCACCATGATGTGATCTCAAAATTAAATGGTGAGAAGTTAAAACTCTCAAGCTCAAGAGATCTAAAACTCAATCTAGTTTTGCATCTTGGAAATCAGTGTTGATGACAAATCAAAATAAAATAAGGTACAAGTGCATTTTACAGATTTGCAACATACTCTCATGATTTAAGGCATCATCAGAATATCATTGTTTTAACTCTTTGTAACAATGCAAACTTTGCATTCTCATTCAGGATCATATATCCCACTCAATTCTACTATAATAAGAATCCTTGCATTTGATATAGTGCTTTTCATGTCTTCTAGACATCTCAAAGCACTTCAAAGAATAAAGCGAATTGACTGTATATTTGTGGGCGAAACGTGGCAGCCAATTGCACATAGCAGTGTCCCACAAACAGTCATGGATTGAAGTGAACAATTTTTTATTATTGTTTTTTTTCTTGAGGGATTATTATTATAATTCTAGTTGGAACTATGTAATAATGTGAATACTTAATTAAAACACATAAAGAAATATTTTTGACATAAATACTCATATTGTTGAAACTTCTATGACAATGCTCCACCTTATAAAAATCTGATTTTAGAATTTTCAATCTAAGCTATGCGCACAATAACCTGATTCAGAATACCAGGGGTTGTGAGTGAGCCCTTCCCCAAAATAGTGCCAGGCAAAGTACACTTCAAATGAGATGGATGCGGATAGAGAAGGTAGGGAGAAAATTAGAATCTCAATTCCTCCACATCTATTCTTACACCAAAGTTGATGAAATGGTTGAAAGAGCATAATATGGGTATTGTCCACATAAGCAAAAACACAAAAGTTTCAAAACCGCTGCCAGTAGTTATCCTGAAGAAGATTCACCCATTAATGCAACACCGACATCTTTCAACGCAATTTTACTTAGTGAGCTAATATTCAAGACCAACACCCCAGTTGGCAAGCTTCTTCAAATAAAGTCAACTATTCTCATCTGCCTGTTCCGATGAAATTATAAATCCCAATGCACTAAATATAAACAATTAAGTAGCAAAACATTAGTTCTAGTGTACAACACTAAAGTAAGATGGCAATGTTTGGGACCTGTTGAGGAATAAGATAAAATCCCTGCACTACTTACAAAACATTCTGCTGCATCATCCATTAGACCTAGCTGAAAACGATGCTCATCTTTGAAGCTTTCAGCCAAAGCACTACGTAAAGCATCTGATGGGAGGGCTTTTTCCCTGCTATGTTGAAATTGAGAAAATATATTCTGCAAGAAAAGTGAATATAAAAAATTTGCAAGTGTAAAAAGGGCACCAAGAATATATAACAATCCATTTTATTTAGACCAAAGAATTAAAATGCAATGATTTCAACATAAAACTACTGGTTTCACGCCTCTACATCACTGCGTTGCCACTGTGCTCGAACATGCGGTTGGGCACATGTGGTTTCATCATCTGATGAACATGCTTCTTGAATTTGCTGGCCATTATTAGAGGAATCTACAGCCAACCAACCCAAAATCAGAGGGTACACAACCAAATAGGCATATTCATGGGATGAAGAATAAAATTAAAGAATGAATCAACATCCATCTTTCAGAACAAATAAAACAAGAGGCATTTATAAGATCAGCAAGACGTACTAAAAAGCACAAGCTTTTTCTCTTTCCGAAAAATGTTAGGTATGGAATTTAATTTAAAATTCATCCATTGTTAATAAAATCCATTACTATTGATTTGTTGATTAAAAGCAGACCAACATCAAGATTTGAAATGTCAGTGCTGAAAATACAAAGTTGTACTTCCTGGGATAGTTAACTGTACAGAAATGGAAAATAATTAATTGGTTATTCCATAGTTGGAACAATCAATGAACATTAAAGATCAACTTTACCTTCAAAGCACAAAATATGCAAGCGTTTCCCAAGCACACGTGTCCCGGAAGCTGTCTCAAACTTCGTCTAAAAATATCTAGGTGCCATAGAACCTACAAAACAAAATTACTATATAAACAGCAGTTCTTCAGGTAAAAAAAACTAATTTCCAAAAATACCATTGCCATCAAATATAAAATATACTTAAAATATAAAACTATCTTCTTATTGTACTTATTGAGTTTGCATTCATTGCAGATACCCGATACCATCAGCACAATAACCCCTTCCGTTGAGGTAAGATTTTTGGTAGGTCAATTTACTCAAGTTAATCAGTATACATATCCTACATGGCATCTTATTTATAGAATAAATGTACTGGAAATATATCAAGATGGGTCAGTGACAAAGTGTTGTCAACATCTGAAATCTAACTAAATACGAGTAAATCTAGAACCTGGAGTAATTTCTCCCACCAAATCAATTGTTTCGTAAAGTCAATTGCCACAATCCCAGAGTCCTGCCTGCATCCCAATGTGAGAAAAATGTAATGCGTCACAAAAATGCGATGAGATGCTGTATCAAATACAAGGATTATTATTATTAAAAAAGCCACTGTCAAGCGCACTGGGATGCTACACTGCGTGAGGGTGCTATATAAATGCAAGTTGTTGTTGTTGACTACAGTATATAGATTAGCATAGTTTGCAGGCTGTAAACATAGCCTAAGCAAGTGGGAGTTAATGATATCCACTGAACCTTATTTAATGTGTTACGAACTCACTGACACTTCCAGGAGCCTCTGTTCACATTTTATATATTTATAGATCCATACTTTTATTGTTCAATGAATCCAATTTGATTAGATAGAATCAGCTGTTATGCTGCATAAGGTGATTCTCAAAACTAAAAATTATAATTTTGCAGTGAATAGTTAATTATTATTGTGCAGTCCTGTAGCTTAGTGGTTAGAGCACTTGCCTCGCAAGCAAGATGACCTGGGTTTAATTCCTGGACAGGGTGGAAGTTTCCTTACTCCACAAGCCTCTATTTACCTAGCACTAAATCACAGAATCTTATAGCACAGAAGGAGGCCATTCAGCCCATTGTGTCTGTTTATTAGGTTTGCTTTTCTGGGGATAATAATCCCTTCCAAAAAAATAATAATAATTTGGTCACTCAATCCACAACTGTTTGTGGGACACTGCTGTGCACAATTGGCTGCTGTATTTCACCCACAAAATACAGTTAATTCACTTTACAGTATATTCTGGAAGCACTTTGACACATCTAGAAAATGTGATAAGACACTATATCAAATGCAGCGATTATTATTATGTTCTGCAAGTCTGTACATCCAGAGGTTAGTTTGTAAATTCTCCATTTCAATTGATGTCAATTACTGTAAGTCAAAACACCATTTCTGTGCTGAATGTAATTACTATTATCACCTGCTGTGTTAGTTTCCTTTAAAGAGTAAAATCATCAAGATTTAACAGTTCTATAAACAACTGGAAATTTAGTGTCCAAAAATAAAGGTGAATAGGTACATATATGGCAAAACAGTGTAATTAACTGCAACAAGGACAGACATCCTTAGATTCAGATCAAAGCAATTGCTAGAGGCACAGAAAGTCAGAGAAACTGCACTTATTGGCAAAACCCAGAATTCCCAAACTGTAACACAGTACAACACTTGTTCCAATAATCCTTAACAAGCAATTGTTAATCCCACAGATAGTTGGCAAAACTGGTTTCCTGATGTGCCCATTAACTGATGCAAGAATTCCTGAAATAGCAGACGTCAACAAAGGCCAGCAGAAGCTGGAAATAGGAGAATATAAAGTGCAATGAGCCACTACCCTGCATGAAGGATACTTTATAAATACAAGCTGTTGTTGAATTATTTTCAGTGTATAGATTAAGAGTTATTTAAAAAAAAGGTACTAGGTAAACACTCCTCTCAATCATATAAAGCAACCATCAATCGTTAAGACATTTGCACCAAGTATACAAGAACCCATCGGCCCATTCAGGTAAGTGCAAAAAGATCCAATGGGACGATCCGAAAATAGATCTTTCTCCTAGACAACAATCTTCCAAAATAAATGTCATGGAAGTTTGTAACACAATGGTGTGTGCAACAGATTGTCATGCTTGAGGTCAAAATACAGTCATTACACTTTACAGTATGTCCTGTGAAGCACTTTGACATTTTCTCTACATGAAACAAATATTTATATATAAAAATATATATCTATATCAAATACAAAAATTATTACTACTAACATCACAAAATCTGCTGTGCTAAATTAATTACTCTAGTATCGCTTGGGCAATTTAAGAATTGGTCACATGACGTAGAAATAGCTATGAAATGTTGATTTAGCCATTCTTCAGCAAGACCTGACCCTTCCAGCAAGAGCTAGCGAACCCCTCCCTTTCCTTATGGTGCCACTTCAAGCATTTGCAACTGGGAATTTTCCTTTAATATGACTTCACCAAAAGGAATTTACTCTGCACAAATTATCTCCAAGGACAAAACATAGCAGAATTGTAATCGACAGTGTGATTTTATCATAGGAATTATATGGAGTCCTGTAGCTCAGCGGTTAGAGCATGCGCCTCGCAAGTGAGAGACCTGGGTTAGATTCCCAACAGAGCAAGACGTGGACAAGCTTCCTTACTCCACATGCCCATGATACCTGTTTACTTAGCAGTAAGTAGGAACCCGGTTGTTAGTCTGTTGGCGCATTGCTTTTCTGGGGGTAACATTTCCTTAAGAATTTTTATAAAAAATAAATTGGTCACTCAATCCACGACTGTCTATGGGACACTGCTGCTGAAGCACTTTGAGATGTCTTGAAGATGTGATAATAATAATCCTTGCATTTGATATAGAGCCTTATCACGTCTTTGCAACATCTCAAAGCGCTACACAGAATGTAGTGTTAAGTGAATTGACTGTTTATTTTGTGAGCGAAAGGTGGCAACCAATTGCACACAGCTGTGTGCATGTGTATTGTTCCAGAAGAGAATTTTGGAATTTAATTCACTTTTATTCATATATTTAGGCAATGCAAGAGTGCAAATCCTGGAGAAGCATTATTGACATAATAATGGTATCGTCAATCAAAAGTAAAAGCATACATACAAAACAAGAAAAATCACATTTGTGAGCTCTGTTGAAAAGTGGGTTGGATTTACTTTGTGTGTGGCCTAAACATAGTTAGTAAAGGTGTGAATGCATTCTTTACAACAGGAACCAGATGGGGGTGGGGCAGAGGGGCGTAAATGAAACATTGCTATATCAAATTACAAGCAAAAGCAGTGCCAGTGTTGAGCAGGAGAAACTAAGTAGCATGTTTGAGCTGAGTAAGAGCTGGTAGATGGAGCTGCTCAATGATGTTCATGAGAGGGACGAAACTGTATAGGAGGAATGTTGCATTTGATAAGAGTTTTTCACATAGGGAGTTCATCGCAAAGTCTTTCACAGGATATATTAGAAAGTAGTTAATGTGAAAGCTGTGGGCGAATGTTGCAGCCGATTTAAGTAGGAGAAAGATAAATAAAGAGCAGCCTAAAAGGTAGGCTTTGGAACTGTTTGAAAGCAGAGAGGGAAGGTTCAAAATGGAGAAATAGAGAGAGAGTTCAAGAAAATGGGGACAAGATGGCTGAAGACTTGCTCACCGAACAGTCAGACACAGGTCAGGGGGCATGAAAGAGGACATGGAGCAGGTCAAGTACTAGACCACGGGAAAGTATGACTGCAGGAAATTAGGAGGGTGGGTAAGGAAGTGGAAGCTTCTGAAAGTTATGAGGATCTTGGTTAATCTGATGGAAATGGGAAGCCAGTGGAACTTGGTGAGGATCGGCTGCTGGCGTGCAGAGCCTGGTAGAGAAAGGAAACAAACTACAGAGTTCTGCAGGGTGGAGAGAAAGCCTGAAATGGCGAGCAAAGGAGCGCATCAGAAACGATGAAGACAAGGATGAGGGTTTGGCTGCATTGATTGATGGTGAAGTAGGCGTGGAGGCAGATGATTTTACAGGGATGGAGGAAAGCAGACTTGTTCAAAGACCAGATGAAAGACTTAAAATTAATCTATGAATTCAAACCCTAACGTGGACCTTGAAACCATAACTGTCTTACTGAGTGCTACAAATTGAGCCATACTGACAATGCCATGTATACCAAAACTGAGGAACGGACTCAATCCTTATCTGCAATACGCTGTTGCACTAGTTATCAATCTCAGCACTCCACTGTGCAAGTGTCTAAAATACTTTCAGTCTTAGTTTTACCACTATGTGTTGTGAGAGATTTAGTTTGCCAGGTGTATAGCACATTCAGAAATCCCATCACCATACATGAGTCTCCAAACCAAATTGCTGAGAGTTCCACATATTCGTGGTTTCCATTTATCCGGTACGGAATAAAGAGGTTGCATCCTTCTCATCTAATCTAGAGTTTAGGCACGGGTTAGCAAGAGCCAATGTTTAGGGACCCCAGAGGGTGTTTCAGCAAGTCTAGGAAGTAACATCAGCTGTGCTTCCTGCACATAGGGCTAAAAAACGGTGACAGCACCATATTAAATGGAACTTAATATTAATAGCAAAAATTATAATGCACCTTTCACTTCAGGAGTAAGTCTTAAAGTGCTTCACAAGATTTTATTAAGTGGAGTGACTGTATACTTCTAGGTGAATGCAGCAAACCAACTACACACAGGAATTTAATTATACAGTTAATATAACCATATAGCTTGGCAATGTAAATGGCTGGCAAGCTTCAAGTTGCTTCATCAGATAGGACTTCTCTACTGGTTACATTTCGAGTTTCTATATGAACATAATTTGAATTTTCACCTGCACAATACTGTGTGTACACTGAAGAATATACTTTTACCTTCAACACACGGGATTGATAGCAGATGGGTAGATAATAATAATAATCCTTGCATTTTATATAGCATCTTAGCACATCTTCAAGACATCTCAAAGTCCTTCACAGAATATACTGTAAAGTGAATAGACTTATGCGTGAAATGCAGCAGGCAAATGCCCCCAGCAGTGTCCCACAAACAGTCATGGATTGAAGTGACCAATTTATTATTATTATTAATATTTTTAAAGGAATTATTATCCTCGGAAAAGCAATCCTCCAATGGACTAACAACCGTGTTCCTACCCTAGGTAAACAGAGGTGTGTGTTGTAAGAAAAGTGGCCCAACATTTTGCCCTGCTGGGAACTAAACCCAGATCAGTCACTTGCCAGCCAAGTGCTCTAACCACTGAGCTACAGGACTCCATATTGATAGAGGGCACACCTTTCTAACATGGGAAGCTCAGTGTAAAAACAACAACTTGCATTTATATAGCGCCCTTCACATGGGGTAGCAGCCCAGAGAGCTTGAGAGTGGCAGAGTCTGACACTGAGCCAGGGTGAGCGGGAGGTAACCGTAAGCACGATCAAAAAGGAAGGTCTTTTGATGGGATGTAGTTCACCTGTCTTATAATAGCATCATAAGGCAGATACACCACACTTTCAGTTAGTATGGGTCCTCAGCAGACCTTCACTAAACACAAGGCAGCACAATATAGAACAATGCTGTATCATTGTGCGGGTGCGTGTGTGTGTGTATGTGTATACACACACTCAGGCCTGCACCACACTGTCTACCTACAGTCTGACCTAGTTATAACAATAATCCTTGCATTTGACATAGGCACCTTATCACGTATTTAGACGTCTCAAAGCGCTTCACAGAATATACCGTAAAGTGAATTGACAATATATTTTGTGGGCGAGTATAATGCTGGATCAGCTACAACGTGGAAATAGTGTAGCCCCATAAGGCACTGAAGTGTGGTACACATCCTGCACATTACGTGCTGGTGCACCAGGCTCAGTAATATCAGCAGCAACCCTGGAGATGCGTATCAGCAGCTGCAGTATAACAATTCTATTACAACACTGGGTCGCATGACAAGATCTCCAAATACCCTATTGTGACAGGATTGGATTGTATGAATCTCCTCTCATCTACACCACATTATGTATAAGGAAAGGAATATATATTCTATAAAGAGAAAACTACATTCTTACCTACCCCATACTGTGTAATATATTTGCCCAAAAAACCCACAATCACAACCCTTTACACTAAACCCTGAGAAGCACTTTGAGACAGTTGCCCAACATGAAACAAACAAATTACATTTGTAAAGTGCCTTTCAAGATGGGAGGACATTCAAAGGTGCTGGACAGTCAGGGATTTGGAACCAAGCAGGGGGTTGGGATCAGGAGGGATGGAGTGCATGGAGGGTAAGGGTAGGAGGGTGGTCGAATGAGCAGTCGAAGAGGAGGGTCTTGAGACATGCTTTGAAGGAGGTAAGGGAGGGAGCAAGACAAATGGATTGTGGGATGGAGTTCCAAAGGATGGGTGCAGAGAAGTTGAAGGCTTGACCACCTATGGAGGGGCAGGCTGGGGGGCTGAGATCAGGCCACAGCCTGCTGAGCGGAGGGAGCGGACAGGTTGATAAGGGGTTAGCAGGTCACTGAGGCAGGAAGGAGGGTCTTGAGGATGAGAATTTTGAACTCTATCCTCTGGGGAATGGGGAGCCAGGCTTGGGTGGTGGTGATAGGGCCATGCAGACTGGTGCTGGAGGAAACGAGCTGGAGATCCAGAAAATCTGCAGCGTATGGAGGAAAGGGTTGGGAAGGCCAACAAGCAGGGAGTTGCCGCAGTCGAGCCTAGATGTAGAAACAACAACATTAGTAGAACGCCTTTCACGTCAGGAGGAAGTCCCAAGGTGCTGGACAATCAGTGTTTCAGACGCGAACTGGAGGTCAGGATCAAGGAGGGTGGAGGGGAAGGAGGGTGATCAAAGGCACGGTCGGAGGGTCTTGAAACGTGTCTTGAAGGAGGCAAGGGAGGGGTTGAGGCAGAGGGACTGAGGGGTGGAGTTCCAGAGGGTGGGGGCAAAGTGGCTGAAGGCCCACCAATGGTACGGCAGGCGAGGCAGGGGACATGAAAGGGCGTTATTACATTTTAAGAATTACTATTCTATAATGTATTATATATGAACACGTTGATCTGCTTCACACTGTGTGATACTATGAGTCCTATGTATATATTAATACACTCATATCTGTGCCACTGTGTACTGTGTAATATATACAAATACTCTTTCCGATACCATACAATGTGCAATATATATGATTATATTCTTACTTATACCATTGTGTGATAATATGTGTTTTATGCACACACACTGACACATGTTCTATCTAAATGTGTATAGTATTAACTGTACTACTGTGATACTATGTATAATATCTGAATACATTCTTGCCTGTAAATACTGTTTAATATATATTTGTGGGCAAAACATTTGTGCACAGCAGTGTCCCACAAACAGTCGTGGATTGAGTGATCAAATAATTGTTTTTGGAAAGACCTGGCCTCGATTCCCAGCAGAGCAAAACCTTGGGCAAGTTTCCTTACTCCACCCACAAACCTGATAATAATCCCTCGAGAAAAAAAATAAGAAATTGGTTACTTCAATCCACGACTGTTTATAGGACACTGTTGCGTGCAATTGGCTGCCGCGTTTCACCCACAAATATACACAATCAAGTCACTTCACAGTATATTCTGTGAAGCTGTTTTGAGACATCTGGAAGACATGAAAATCGCTAAATCAAATGCAAGCAATATTGTTTTATTATTATCATCATCATCATCCCCGGAAAAGCGATCCACCAATCGACTAACAACCAGGTTCCTACTTACTGCTCAGTAAACAAAGGCGTGTGTAAGGAAACTTGCACAATGTTTCACCCTGTGGAGGGTGTGAACACTGTGTAATAAATCCAGTATATATGTGAACATGTCCTACCTATACAGTAGCGTAATACACTTACCTGTACTACACTGTGCGATACGATGTGTAATGGGGTTATCTGATATACACTATACAGATGTGAGTGAACACCCTCTTACCTGCACCGCGCTGTTGAGGAAGCAGCTGTTCTCGCCGGGTCCGTTGAGCAGTCCCTTGGTGGGGGCCAGGGAGAGCATACTGCCGGGCTGGTAGCCGCTCCGCAGGTTGCCCCCGGGCTTCAGCAGCAGCCTGACCCAGGCCATCCCCCTTTTCCCGCGGACCCCGAGATCGACAAACGAAGTAAAAGACCGGGCGCTCTTCAGCCGCCCGGGAGAGGGGAGGAGAGCAGCGAGTGCGGGAGTGGAGCGGCCCGGGGGCCGCCGAGGCGGTGGAGGTGAGGGAGCGGCCCTGGTGCACACGCAGGTGAGGCCGGCGCCGTCTTCAAGTCAAGCTCATGGCCCCCCCCTTGCCGGTGAGCAGGGTGTGGGGGGAAATAGTCCTCCTCGGATCACCTCACCTTCTCGGCTCCCTGTCCCCGCATGCCCCGAGCTTGGCAATAGCTCCGGCGGTTTGCCCCTTTTACGCCAACCCCTGTATGTGAGAGAGACGGAGTGGGACCCACTTCCTCCCGCTGGACGCGCACTGACTGAATGTCCGTCCGTCCACCCGCGCCGACTCCCAGCGCTCAGTGCGACCAACAGTCGGACACAGCTCGAGAATCCGGCGGAACGCGCCCGCCAACCGCCACCGCTCGAGCGAGGAAACCGCCACCACCGCCTACGCGTCACAATAACACAGCCCCACTGTCTCGCGCACGCGCACTGCGCCGCCCCTGAGTTCCGGTCACGTGATTTTGTTGTGTTTTGTCTGTGCTGCGGTCTGAAAGGGGGGGAGTTGATCACGTGACACGAGCGGCACCTCATTACATTGTTCAGGGGTATCCACACCGCGGCGAGAGCATCACGTGGCTACACCTGTGTACACAGTACCTACACGTGGGTCTGTACCTCTCTCCAGGACTGTCTGTGGGACACTGCTGTGTGCAATTGGCTGCCGTGTTTCACCCACAATTTTTCAGCACCTTGGGACGTCCTCCCGACGTGAAAGCCGCTATACAAGTGTAATCTTCTTGTTGTTGTTGTACACCACTTAGCCATTGAAACTCCTGTGTCTGGAATGCAGATCCCTTCAAGCCCTGGTACCTCCCTCCTTCCCTCCCTCCCTCCCTCTCCGACCTGCTTACCCCACAACCCACTGCCTCCGTTCGACTGCCATACTTACCCGGACCAATTTCTGTACCCCCATCTCATGAGTTCTGACCAGGCTCCACTGGCTCTCCATCACCAAACGGATCAAGATCCTCACGCTCGTGTTCAAATCCATTCACTCCCTGCACCTCACTACCTCTCCAACCACCGCTCGCTCGACTGACACCGGCCTCCTATTTGTCCCTCGCACCCTCCGCCCCACCATTGGAGGCCACACTTTCAGCCACTACACCCTGAAACTGTGGAACACTCTTCCTCAATCCCTCCGCCTTGCCCCCTCCCCTTTTTCATGTCCCGCCTGAAAACCTTCCTTTTTGACTGTGCTTACGGACACTAACCACCATCAACCCCCGGAGTCAAGCTCCACCACTGTTAAGTGCTCTGAGACCTTAGTCTGCTTGGAGGGTGCTATATAAGTGCAAGTTGTTGTTGGAACCAGCCTTCTACATGTCCCTCGTGCCCTCAATTCTTGGCCAAGCTTTCAGCCGCTAGGCCCTGAAACTCTGAAACACTTTTCCTTGATCCCTCCGCCTTGCCCCTTGCTTCCCCGTCTTTGAGTTGCTCCTGAAGACCTTCCTATTTGACAGTGCCTACGGTCACCACCTTGCTCCGCCAATGTCAAGCTCTCTGGGACGCTACCCTGTGTGAGGGGCACTTTATAAATGCCAGTTGTTGCAAATATCTGCCCTGGAGAGATGCAGACCTCTAATTCCATTAATAATAATAATCCTTGCATTTGATATAGCGTTTTTTGCATCTTCTAGACGTCTCAAAGCACTTCACAGAATATACTGTAAAGTGAATTGACTGTATATTTGTTGGGGAAACGCGGCAGCCAATTGCACACAGCAGTGTCCGACAGACAGTCGTGGATTAAAGAGACCAATTTTGTTATTGTTCTTTTTTAAAGGATTATTATTAGGCGTGTGGAGTAAGGAAACTCACCCAAGGTTTCGCCCTGCCGGGAATCGAACCCAGGTGTCTTACTTTTGAGGCGAATGCTCTAGCCACTGAGCTACAGGACTCAGATGTTGGCAAAAGCCAAGGCTTGGGCACCCCAAACTGTGCAGTTGGGGTACTCCTGAGTTTAACCATCTAATATTATGTAGCTTTGTCCTGCTTTTCCAGCTAGAACCCTATAAGGGTTTGGGTTGCATGAGATGAAGTGGGAAGAACCCTGCTCCCAGTGACTGGTCTGCCTACTCCAAATCTGCTGATGAGCTGTCCTGGCTGATCTGTCATAGCAGTGCCCTGGAGTATTGGTGACCTGCTTGGCTGAGGAATTGACCACCTAAGCCACTATGATGTGTTGACTCAACACCAATATTTCATGTCATTTTAAAGGCAGCTCGGCTTCAAGCAGATCACACTTTCCTCCTCCTTCACCCCAGGAGGATAGGGCATGAGATAGGGCAACGAGTAGAGAGTGATTTTCAGTCACTCGTTTTTCCTGCTGAGCAATTATGGAGTCCTGTAGCTCAGTGGTTAGAGCACTTGCCTTGCAAGCGAGTGCTTGGGTTCAATTCCAGGCAGGGCGAAACCTTGGGCAAGTTTCCTTACTCCACACGCCTAATAATAATTCCTCCAACACAAAAAAAACAATAATAAATTGGTAATTTTCAATCCACGACTGTTTGTAGGACACTGCTGTGTGCAATTGGCTGCCACATTTTTGCCCACAGATATACAGTCAATTCACCTTACAGTATATTTTGTGAAGCACTTTGAGACGTCGAGAAGAGGTGGAAAGCGCTATATCAAATGCAAGGATTATTATTATTATAATTTAATGTTTTAAATTGTTATCTCTAGCCTAATTACAATTTACATTTGCTTACAAGTTAACCTAAATGTTTTGTGGACAGGAAGCTTCTGATGTAAACAAACCTTATGATTGAAATGGATATCAAGAAACTGAAGCAGGATTCTAACTCAGGCCTGCTCTACAACCCTACACTGTCCCATTTCTGACCATCATTCGGTGAATTTTCAGCCTCTTTGTCTGCCCATGTTTTCCCTAAAACCTTTCCCGTTTGCTTTCAAAACCATCTGCAAGCCCATCACCATCAATCTTGTCAGACTCCATTGGATCCCTATTCAACTTTAAGTTCCTCATTCTTCTCTCCAAATTCCTCCATGGCCTTGCCTCAACTCTACATCTGGGATCTCCTGGGATCTTACTCCACACCCACTTCTGACTCTTCCAGCTGCCTGCTTCATGCACCCCCCCCCCCCCCCCCCCGCCCCCTCCTCCCCATCTTCAGTGGGTGAGATTTTCGTAATTTTGTTCATACTGTCTGGAACTCTGCCTCACACTCTCCCTCTTTGTTTTCAAACCATTCTAAAAAGTTTCCCTGTTGATAGTCAACTCTTTCCTAAGCCCACCTTGCAACCTATCGAGACCCCTACTCCACCTCTCCAAAAGGTACTATATAAAGGCAAGTTGCTTAGCAATATATTCAATTATATAAATGTAATCTGGAAAACAAATTACATAACTTCTATGACTTTATAAGTAAAGACTTTTAAAAAAGTGAGTTCTTATTTAGATTTCTTGCTATCAAGACAATGCATCCTACTTACCTAATTTCAGAGCATTGCAGAATGGAAGCCCCAGAGTATGCATTGCATCTGTTGAAGTGTAACCAGCTTTAACTGCATAGTTTGCCTTTAGAAACACTGCCTGGCAAGCTTCCCACTACCTGCCTAGTACCAACCTATCCATTAAGGCTTTGGCTTGCAGGGATGAGACAAGGCAAGTCAGAGTCCACCCTATGCTAAGCCATCCTTCCAAGTTCCCAGTGTCAAGGACCCAGGCCTCTGTGAGTACCTGATGACACATGGTGAATAACCTATGCAGATTCAACACTCTCATAATAATAATAATAATCCTTACATTTGATATAGCGCTTTTCACGTCTTCTAGACATCTCAAAGCGCTTCAAGAATATACTGTAAAGTGTATTGAAAGTATATTTGTGGGTGAAACACGGCAGCCAATTGCGCACAGCAGTGTCCCACAAACAGTTGTGGATTGAAAATGACCAATTTATTATTGTTTTGTTTTTTTGGAGGGATTATTATTAGGTGTGTGGAGCAAGGAAACTTGGATTACAAGGGATATAATAAAATAATAATAATCCTTACATTTGATAAAACACCTTTCACAAGAGGAGGACATCTCAAAGCGGTCAACTAAATGTATGGTAAAGTGAGTATTTTGTATTTTGTATTTTGTAGACAAATACAGCAGCCAACATACAACAACAATATCCTACAATTAGCTATGAAGTGAATGACCGATTTTATTTATGGGTTTGTTAACCTGGAAACTGGGAGAAACTCTCCCTTTTCTTTTTGATCTTGAAACACCACCTGATCAGGCAGAAGGGACCTTAGTTTAAAGACTCATCTGAAGGATGGCTTTCCAACAATGGCAGCACATGCCCAGCACTGCACTGGAGTGTCAGCCCTGGACTATGAGTTCAGAGTCCCAACTGGGAGGGGCGGGAGGGGGGGGCTTGAACCCACAGCCTTCTGACTCAGAGACAAGTGTGCTATCAATTAAGACAAGTTATACCCTGCCTGACTACGCCAGTTATATATTCTCAGAGCCAGTTGAACTCAAGGGAGAACCCACTTCCTTGTCTACCAACAATATTTTTTAGATAGAGTACTCATTTTATTAACTATAAAAGGGTGAAAAGCTGAGTAGATCCATAACAGCTGTGACCCAGACAGATCTTCTGTTTCAACATATGGTGCTCAGCTGACTGAGCTACCTCAGATGTTGTAATCCCTAATAAAAGAAGTCCCTAGATACTTGATGATTCTATTTCTACAATATAGATTATTTTCATCAAAATGTATTTATTAAAATTATCTGTTTCCTTGTTTAATCAACTAAAGTTAAGATTGAAGGTATTAAATTATTGTTCATCAAAAAATCGGACTGTCACCATAAGGTGTAATTTTCCCTTGGTATTTCAAATCCTTCCCTCGTTGTGTGTC